ACATGAATAAAGATATTTTGAATTTGAATTTGAATTTCATATATGAAAGCATTATTTGACGCCCTCGGTGGCCTAGCGGTTTACCACACCGCCTTCATCCGATGGTCGCGGGTTCGATTCCTCGCACGGTACAAACATAAATTTATGATTTACGACTGTTTGTATCAGTTTGGGTATTGTCTATGTATATTGTGTATGTATTTACAAAAAAATATTTGTAAATACTATGTATTTGAATTAGTTGTCTAGTACCCATAACACAAGCTCTAGCTAGCTTGACTTGGGTCTAGATGACGCTGTGTGAATTGTCCTGAAATTATTATTATTATTTACAAAAAAATATCTATGTATTTATATCAGTTGTCTAGTACTAATAACGCATATTTACGAAAAAATAACTATGTATATGTATCAGTTATCTAGTACCCGTAACTCAAGTTTAGCTAGCTTAACTTAGGACTAGATGACGCTGTGTGAATTGTCCTGAAATTATTATTATTATTTATAAAAAAATATCTATGTATTTATATCAGTTGTCTAGTACTAATAACGCAAGTACATAGAAGTTTACGTAAATCAATACACTATTATTATAACTGGGATTATGTTATCGTGCAAGTTTAAAATCTACCCCCTCCCCTTCTACCAGCTCGCAGCAACCACCCCCTAACTAGGAGCTCGTAAATTATAACGGGGTATAAATAAAAATAAGCTTTTATGAGGTTTATATATCGTAAACCGGATCCACTGAATAAATTGAGTTTTGAGTACAGAGTAATATAACATACAGAGTATTAATGTAATCTAGCGATTGTTTTGACGCGTATTGTATGCCCCATTATCAACTTAGTCTCAGATTCGATTCCCCACAAGTGCAAATACCTATTTGTATTCGTGGGGTAGGGAATTGTTAATAATGTGAACTGATGCTAGCAAAGTACCATGTCTGGTGGACCTCCACGCGGTTCCCCCTGGAAACCATCGTGATAACTTTCTGGTGAATTTGTCACGATGGGCTAACTGACCTGACCTCATGTTCATCTTATCATCCTCCACTGGTGCCCCGCCAGTAAACCGTTAGCGCAGGCAGGTACACCATTCCATTATCATCCATAAAAAAACTGAATTTACCTCATGTTCACCTTATCATCCTTCACTGGTGCCCCGCCAGCGTAAATCATTATCATCCATTAAAAAAAATAATCCATGTAAGTACTTATAAGCGTAGTCTAGTACACATAACATAAACTTTTCTTAGCTTGGGACTATAGGCGCTGTGTGAACGGACTAGGTTTATTAAAAAAACTACAAAAACATTGGTATATCAGTGTGAATTATCTCAAAATGATTAAAAAAATTCTTCATTTATAAAATGTAAAGTGAAAAATTACTTGTATTATTGTCCAAAAGAAATAAATTTACCCGCTTTAACCCCAACAGACCAGCCGTCACCAGCAGTACTTGTTCACGAGTATGACGGTTGGTATTGATTTTTGTAACCAATTATGTTAGAACTTCTATTACAAACATAGGACAGCTCTCGAATTAATATTTGGTTATATTATCGATGTTTCCTTCACCAGAGAGTTAATCAGATCTGTCAGATGTTGAAATAGACAGTTTTTTGGTGTTGGCTACATTTGAAAATGTCGATATTTTGTATGAGTGTGGGCGTAAGTTGAAGTAATAAATGACTAGCTTTCGACGATCTCTTCTCTCTCTGAACCCCTCTGCTATGTTATTATAAATCAATAATGACATAATACTTACTTATCTGATCATCTTAATATATAAATATTTCATGTCACGTTATTTTGTTCGCCGTGGAATCTTAAACAACCAATTTTGATGGAATTTTTATTTGTACACTCGATAGATCTGACGCCTGAAAAGTTTTTTAGACATATTTTTTATTTTCATTATGATTCGGCTTTAAAAAAATACATACAACCCCTGAATTTCCATCCCTACACTTTCAACCCCTATTTTTTAGTAGTGATAATAATTTATATCGCAAAACAACGTTTGCATGGAGATCTACTTAAAATGTATATACTGTACCTATATACATACACACAGATATAGCGAGGAGACATTTTTATTAAGTAACAAAGTTCAAAAGAAATTGCATTTTCCAACAGTAATTGGCACAAATTAACTTCATTAAATCAGTAGAGATCTAAAAGCCCGGGATCAAGATATAATGAACTGATAAATGAATTTGTGGAGAGAAAAAGGCGAAAACAGGCGTTGCTAATCCGGCGCCCGTGCTCTGCTCGGACCATTAAGAAACGGCCCGTCATGTTTATTTATTCATTAACGCATCCTACTTAGAGGTGGGCGTTGAATGGACGAACCGTTCTGTTCAACGGTTTTATTCTGAACAATTAAACTAGAAGCCGACGATTGATGCCTCGTCCAATTTTAACGGAGATCGAAAGTACGAGGGCCCGAGCCGAGGTTAGAATCCCTAGCGGTGCCATCAGACTAAAGTCGTATCCGTCAGACAAGAGCTGGCCTTCAGCCGTTGCATAAGTCCTTTCGCGGGTTTGTCGTGCTATCTGCACTGACCCATATCGTCCGATGAAGCTGTAAAGGCCAACAGCATCATCGTCATTATCAGTCTACTGCAGTCCACTGCTGGACATAGGTTTTTCTTAAGGCACGCCACTGGACAAGATCTTCAGCCCTTCTCTTCCGGTTATAACCCGCAATCCTACGTATACCGTCGCTCCACCTTGCTACAGGGCGTACTACACTACGTTTGCCAACTCTAGAACACGCCAACTCCAGCGAGCATCGATTCTGCGAGATAAATGACCAGCCCACTGCCACTTCAACCTACAAATACGAAGAGCTATATCGGTGATCTTAGTTCTCTGGCAAATTACTTAATTTCTGATTTAATCCCTCAGAGAAACTCCAAACATAGTTCTTTCCATAGCTCGTTGAGCGAGTCCTTTGAATTGGTGGACCAGTCTTGTCGTCAGTGTCCACGTTGCGGCACCGTAAGTCATAACGGGCAGGATACGCTGGTTATGAACCTTGGTCTTAAGGCTTTAAGGTATCGACGACGAGAAGACTTGACAAAGTTTCCCAAAAAGGCCAGCTGCGGTAATAGAGTAGTTCAAAGACAAGAAAGTTGAGTCGATTCCGTCGACTCATCTAGTCTGAGCCGATCGAGACGATCGCTCTGACATCGTCAATTAGTGAACGAGATTCGTTTGTCTACATTTACCGATCGTTTTGTCAAAAAATAGTCGTTTCGACGACGACTTAAACCAGTCAAAAATTAGACAGTTTTTTAAACTAGTTCATCGAGCGATAAACGGTCTCGACGCGTCGATTGTACAATCGTCGACGATCCACTCCCAATCGTACTAAGTTTATTTTATCAAAGTACGTCATCATCATCATCTCAGCACGGAAGACGTCCACTGCTGAACAAACGCCTCCTTCAAAGATCACCACAAAGACCGGTCCTGCGCTGCTCGCTTCCAACGCCTTCCAGCGATCTTGACCAGATCGTCGGTCCACCTTGCTGGAGGTCTTCCCACGACATCGAGGACTTTATTGCCCCAACGGCCATCTGTTCCACGAGCTATGTGCCCTGCCCATTACCACTTCAGTTTCAATTCTTCGGGCTATGTCGGTCACTCTGGTTCTTATCAAGGTACACTTTGTATAAAGTCTGCGTTCTTCTGACGCATCCATTTTGGCCTCGGTGATCTATAGTCTGTTTTTAAATTTCGGAGACAATTGACAGGTATTAATATCAATTTTTCGAATAACTTTACCACCAGCAGCGGGGAAATGTACTTGCGATACCGAATTCAAAGGCCTTCCATTACCGTACCTAGCGACAATATGACTACTAGTCGAAGGTGTGTGGGGCATAAAGAATAGAACGTGAAAAATACCGACCTGTGTATGGTACAGATAGAGTTTATCTCGTGACCTTTAAAATTGTAAGCAGATGTGCAATCGTTGCCCTGGCGTGCTTCATTTTTGAAAATGCAACCTAATCACATAAATTTCTTAGAATATTAAAATCAAATATTAATGACAATATTAGATAATAAAATAATATTAATTATAATCTACTGCTATTAGTATGTGTGCGATAAAATTATGATAAATATATGTTTTTTAAACTACTATAATTCTGTAATTTAAAAATATTTTACAGCGCCATCTGCCGATATAGTTCGACACTAACGGTTAGCAAAGTAGGAAGCTATGACAACATAAATAAACGTGATTTACAGAATAAATTGTGGTAGCTCTGTATTTTGTGTAAATTTAAATTAGCTATTGACAAAAGAAAACGCAACCTGTTTAGATGTTAGTCTAAAAATATTCTGTATCATACATAGGCTTTGACTATTTTAATAAGAACGCCATCTAGTATCTAATAGTGAAACTATCAAGCACTGTAGCAGTCGTCGAAATGTTATTTCAGTAACAACCTACACGTCTGAATTCTTCTATACAACATGTTAAAGTCAACATTGTAGCCGTAGTCTTTGCTAATTGATTTGAACAGGCGTTTTAATGTTAATTATTTGTATACCTTCCAGTTACTCGACATCATTATCTACTTTTATTACTGCTTCTAATTGTTCCACGGCTAGTTGCTATCGTAAATTCATTCTTTATAAAAACCAAAAGGCGAAAATAAATGTATTGTTAAACTGTGCATCAGAGTTTGTTATTGAGAAATTCCATTGTGTCCACTACAAGACACGACACATTTGCACATTTTTCTGTTTGTCAATCCACAGACTGAGCATGGAATAACAAACTAATTTTAACTTTTTATGAACAACACGCGAACACAACTTGTTAAGTCATCAGGATTTTTTTGGAATAAAAATAAAATTTTATGTTTTAATATTTTAATATAAAATTAAAACAATAAATAGGTACAAATTACGTCTATATAATATATAATTTAATACAAATTTATAATATATTAAATAGATACAGAATAACCGATATCACAAGTAAAAAAAGGCCAACAACAAACACATTATTCTTATACGATTATCATAAGCACTAAGCGAGGTTAAATGCAAATTACTGCTATCAACTCATTCTTCATTTTATTTGTCGTAGTAAAGGAAGTCCTGGAAATAAATATAATTATATAATTCATATCCTGTAATTTCATCTATACATACATTTATGTTTGTACCGTGCGAGGAATGAAATCCGCGACTATCGGATGTAAGGCGGTGTGGTAAACCGCTAGGCCACCGAGGGCGTCAAATAATGCTTTCATATATGAAATTCAAATTCAAATTCAAAATATCTTTATTCATGTTAGTCTATTACAGACTCTTATGATATGTCAAATCTACCGTCAGTTCGGAATGATTTCGAGATGAGAAGAACTGAGAAGAAACTCAGCTCGTATATATACATATACATAAAATTGGAGTGTCTGTTTGTAATATTGAAGTAACCGTTTTTTACTCCCTGCATATGAATATAAATACGGTACATATACTAAAATAACGTTTTTTACTATTTTTGTCTGTCAGTCTGCTGTCTGTTTGTTCCGGCTAATCTCTGAAATGACTGAACTGCATTATCATCCACTAGCTGCGCCCGCGACTTCATCCGCGTAAAATGACGATACTTCCATATAACCTTTCAACCCCTTGCAACCCTTTTTCGCATTAAAAAGTAGCCTATGTCCTTTGTCAGGGTATAGACTATCTGTGTACCAAATTTCATTTAAATCGGTTCAGTGGTTTCGGCGTGAAAGCGAGACAGACAGACAGACAGAGTTACTTTCGCATTTATAATATTAGTAACGATATCAAAATACTCCAAAAAAAATTATTTTTAGTTCTGCTTACAATTAGGATGCAGGCTCCAATGAGAGCAGCCTTATAGCCGACGTCCAGGTCGAAAGGGAAACTTATCTCGTACGAATCTGAGTCAATCAGCATCTCCTGTAACATTCCTCTCCAAATCTTCCTAATCACACCGATCTGACTCTTGTCCTGAGCGAAAATCTGTAATAATAATAATAATATTTATTGCGGGAATCTATTTAATTGTATCCTGCCACCGCCAGTTCACTTTGCAAACTGCGTCCAAAACATTATTAGTTAGAATCAAGTTGATAAAACTATGAGTTCTCTGTAAAGAGATGTTATATAGCAACTGTAAAAAACTTTACAAGCTGCGCCGATACATCTTAATACGTCCAAAACATAATTAAGTCGAATTCTATTGTTCTAACAGTCGATTCTTCCTCAATGTGGACAAATGCTACTTTATAATTGTTGTGTATTCAGAGCCATAAAAATACATTGTCTATGTTTATGATTAATTACTTACTCTATAGTCTGTCGGTGTGTCAAGTCGAGTCATATAATACATATAATTCTTGTTAATATAATAAATTTGTAGTCTTATTAAATAAAAGACTAATATACCATAGTCACTAGCTTTTGCCAGCGGCTTCGCTCGCGTTAATATATCCCCTTAGGGGTGGAATTAATCAAAATCCTTTCTTAGCGGATGCCTACGTCATAACATCTACCTGCATGCCAAATTTCAGGCCGATCCGTTTTGTAGCATCTTAGTTTCACACAAAAATATAATATTGTTATTTTTAAATAGTCTAACATAGAACTGCAAAATGATCATCATCATTATCTTATTTATATGTGTAGTATGTTTATAATATATATAAATATGTATGTATGTATGCTCATAATTCGTTTGTATGTAGTATATTATCATGTATATGTATGATCTTATATCTATTTAATATAATTACATTTAATTTCTTAAAACTAAACCGCCTTCGAGTATCTCTGCACTCCCTAAGTTTGGCTGGTAGAGAATGCTATTAGCATTAAGCTCGCCTATTGTACAAAATCAATAAAGTTTTAAATAAAATAAATAAATAAATTGTTTGGTTAGAAAAAATGATCAATATTTGTTTAACCTTGAATGTCATTCACTGAGCCATCCAAATGATGTGAGCAGTGTAAATGATGAAGAGCAAACAGCTAGTACGTTCACTCACCACTTAGTTATAATTGGAACACGCTAAAACTTTATAGATCGGTGGATTTATTTTTCATCGTTATGTTCTTGTTTTGATCATAGCAAGAGTTTGGTATGTACACTGAAAATATGGTACAATTAGAATCGGAATTCATTGCGCAGTATTCCATATATACTCCACTAGCCAGAGACCTTTTTTCATCAATTATTTGACTCCTTCCTCTCGGTCAAAAACTTCTAGTTAGATGCTTAGTTCTAGTAAATTGTATGAAGCTTAGTGGAAATCAACTGCATTTACATGTCCGTGCTATCGGATTTATTTTTCATCGTTATGTTCTTGTTTTGATCATAGCAAGAGTTAGGTATGTACACTGAAAATATGCTACAATTAGAATCAGAATTCATTGCGCAGTATTCCATATATACTCCACTAGCTAGAGACCTTTTTTCATCAATTATTTGACTCCTTCCTCGCGGTCAAAAACTTCTAGTTAGATGCTTAGTTCTAGTAAATTGTATGAAGCTTAGTGGAAATCAACTGCATTTACATGTCCGTGCTATCGGATTTATTTTTCATCGTTATGTTCTTGTTTTGATCATAGCAAGAGTTAGGTATGTACACTGAAAATATGCTACAATTAGAATCAGAATTCATTGCGCAGTATTCCATATATACTCCACTAGCTAGAGACCTTTTTGCATCAATTATTTGACTCCTTCCTCTCGGTCAAAAACTTCTAGTTAGATGCTTAGTTCTAGTAAATTGTATGAAGCTTAGTGGAAATTAACTGCATTTACATGTCCGTGCTATCTGCTGACATACACCATGCTATACCCAGCTGATAGTTTTTTTATCTTCAATATATAATTTGACCAAGAGGTGATCCTTTAGCTTGTTTGACATTCATGTTAGATAACCAAAAGATATCTGGCTACCGTAAAGGATCTGATAAATAGGTGTTTCATCATCCAGATCAGATATATACATATATTCGAATAAAAAGTAAGTTATTAAAAAAGTAGGTGGTTACACTAATAAAAGCCTACGTAATGTCAACAAACTAGTTTTACCTAAGTGCCGTTTGACGAAAGTCAGTAATTCGTTTTATGGAAATTGCGTAAGGTTTTACAACAAACTCCCAGAGTCTGTAGTCAATTTGCCAGAAAAAAAATTCAAATGTGTCATAAAATATTTTCTTTATAAAAAAGCCTATTATAAAATTAAAGAATTTATAAATGATAATAATGTTTCTGTAGAAAATATCTAACTTAAATTTCATAGCGCTGACAATGTTATCTGATTGAACAGAGATTAAGTGCGTAACGGTTTCTATGTTGATTGCCGCATGCCTAATCCTTGTTGTTAATTAAATATAAGTAATTCAATATTTATTTAAAAGAGCAACACACAAGTTTCTTGCTTATTCTTCTTGTGATGAATCTGCATTCCGAATAAGCGGTAGAATAAAAAAACTTGACTATTCAAAAGTGCTTATATTAAGTTTATTTGAATAAAGATTATTTCTATTTCTATTAATAAAACAAAAAGTGGAATACTGGAAAATCTCACTGTAGCATGAGAAGCAAATATACCTAAAGACGATGCAATGAGAACAAACAAATATTATGAGCTCATAAACGAATCATTGGAAAATGGCTATGTGATGAATAATATTAGGTCGAAGTAGGAACGAGAGCAGCGAAATCGCTCTACAATCTACTAATAGGTCTTGGTTTGTCTAGAACTGTAGTCGGTTCTATACCACAACTTATATCCAAAGCTGCATTAGTCTTTAGTCTACTCCTACCAGATTTGGTAGGACAGAGAGAGGAACGCTAACCGTGAGTGTGACGTACGCCGGCGAAAGGACCTTAAACCTACACCCGGGTCACAAGTCACGGGAACTGTTCGGAGCTTCCCTCTATGCTACACGATGGACCAAGGAATGCTAAGAAGTTGGTCTCAAAAGTAATTCAGTAGAATAGACTGTAGATAGAACTACTCGGAGTTTTCTCTACTACACGATGGACCCGGCACCCGCACGGTCAAGCTATGGAATGCTTAGAAGTTCGTCTCAAAAGTAGAAGAAATGCAGTAGAATAGTTCATTCATTCATAATTTAAGAGCTGTGCTCTTGTCGGTGGAGCTCCCGCCACCTTCCACGATCTTCTATCAGTCCCTTTAGCTGTTGATACGACACGACTCCAACTTTTTCTTTAACTTGCTTGATATAGCTGTGTCTCGGTCTTCCCCTTCCTCTCTTTCCATCTATTTTTCCTTCTATAATGTTGTTAATTAGTTCGTCGTGTCGTATCAAGTGCCCTATGGGACACAGTCACCTAAATACATCAAAATAATAATTGCATTTAATAATGTCTAGTAAGACAAATTCAATATTGTCTACTAGGCACTGCTGTATCTAAACTGTGTCACCCCACCTTACATTTTCCTATTGTTATTTAGTATATAAGATCATTATTTCTATGTACATATTGTCAGTTTATCATCATCTGTAATATACATCGTCTGGACCAGCAACATCTTATTAGTTACCCGCAACATGCCCCAACATTTTTCCCCGCCTATTCTCAATAATATCTAGAATAGTACGTACACCAAAATCAGAAATACCGGTGCGGGACATTGGCCCCTTGATCTTCAGCACTGGTCGGTCGTGAGGATCATTGATGTAGAGTACGGGTGTTATGAAAGTGGACTTCTGTCTGATCACACAGAGCAGCCTACCATTCATTTTGACCTCCATCTTATCGGGTCCGAACGTAAATGGCCGCTGAAGAGAGATCACCTGGAATTAAGGGAATTAAAAAATATAAAAATGAAGATACACATATCCTTATCCTTACTAATAATGCGAAAGTAATTATGTCTGTCTGTCTGTAGGGGGCGAATGCAGATGACACACCAAACCCGCGGAAGGTCTTATGGAGCGGCTGAAGGCCAACTCTCGCCTGACGGATATTTGGCGTGTAAGAAATTACTACATTAATATAAAATGAACGGATTCATAATATACTTCATTTAAAACTTCTCGGTACGTAATGATGGCCGTAGTTCTATGTGTTGCCAGCAAAAATATCTCCTAAAGTGTTCATTGAAATTAAATGATGTAATTTAACAGAATTGTTCAAAATTAAATACTTATTATAAATAACGTCAAATACGCTTTGGATTAATATCATGTTTATAAAAACATTCGCAAATAGTGCATTATTTTAGAAGGAACTATACCATAATCAACCATACCAACTATTATATGAAAGGTTAGTGAGATAACATTAGCAGATAGACATATCAATCTCACGGAGCGTTGTATAAATAATTTAGTATGACTCTCTTTCCTACGGTTGTCTGTAAGAGATTGCGTTAGTGATACGACCGCTTCTGTGCCTTCTTCTTTCTTTTATATGTTGTTATACATATATATATATATATATATATATATATATATATATATATATATATATATATATATATACTAGCTCTCTCGGCAAACGTTGTTTTGCCATATAAATTAATAACGCTATAAAAAAATAGGGGTTGATGATAGAAGAAAATTTAGGATTGTATGTATTTTTGTATGTTGTATTATAAAAAAATAGAAACTAAAATATTTGTCTAAAAAATAAAAAAACTATTTTAGGGGTGGACTACCCCTAACATTTAGGGGGATGAAAAATAGATGTTGGCCGATTCTCAGACCTACTCAATACGCTCACAAAATTTCATGAGAATCGGTCAAGTCGTTTCGGAGGAGTATGGGAACGAAAACTCTGACACGAGAATTTTATATATAAGATAAATATATATTTATGTATCTGCTTTTAATATTGGTGCAATAAAGAATTATATGTAAAAAAATAATTTAATAACCTATAACATAATACATCACATTATTTACAATTTATTCATATATTATACTAGCTGTGCCCGCGATTTCACCCCCGTTAAATTTCAATAAAAAGTATAGTCTAAGCGTTATTCTGATGCATAAGCTATATTACTGTAAAGTTTCATTAAAACCATCATAACCTGATGCCCATAGCACTCAGGGTACTATACAATTCTACCAGTGAAAGAATATGATCAGAACTGAATTACCCCAAACAAACAAACATACAAACTTCACCTCTTTATAATCATAACTACATAGTATAAAACAAAGTCGCTGTCGCTGTCTGTCCGTCTCTATATATGCTTAAATCTTTAAAACTACGCAACGGACTTTGAAGCTGTTTTTTAATAGATAGACTGATTCAAGAGGATGGTTTATATATATAATAATACAAGTACACCCGGGGTAAGAGCATTGCTTACTTTTGCTGACAAGGGTGGTAAATAATTGTATTAAATCTGCTTACATAATACTTGAACGGCCCCAAATGGATAGTTTGTTTATCAAAATATCTTTATTCAGGTAGGTCTATTACAGACTCTTATGATATGTGAAAACCGTCAGTTCGAAATGATTTCGTTTGTTTCTAACTACATAAAGAACCAGCACCTCTTGGTTTTGTTGATCTAACATGTCTATGTGGAAAGAACGATCCTTCCCTCCGAATATATGGTTCAAGGCACTCGAGTTCTCCTTCGCATGCAGTATCACTCTACCATCAGGAGCTAGGATCTTATACTTGTTGTTACCAATCCTGGTCTTCTGCTTGACCACTACTCTGTCTAGCCAGATCAGCTGCCTGATGCCTGCAAACATGTCGAAATAGTAATCATATAATAACACATCTATACCTACATATAAAATTGGAGCGTCTGTTTGTAATATTGAAATAACCGTTTCTTACCACATGCATATGATTATGAACAAATACAGTACATAGACGAAAATTACATTTTTTACAATTTTTCGGTCTGTCTGTTCCGGCTAATCTCTGAAATAGCTGGACCGATTTTGACGTGACTTTTATTGGCAGGGATTGATTGACTTTTATTGGGAACCACCGGTCTAGATGTTGTATGAATTGTCCGGAAGTATATGTATATTATTATTATATGCATTAAAAACAATATTATAAACAATCAGCAACTATATTCTACAACGAAAAATCCCCACAAATAGCACGCATTCACGAGTATGACATTTAGATTTTGACGGGATTTTTTTGGCAGGTAGCTGATGTAATAAGGAGTAACTTAGGCTACTTTTATTACAGAAAAATAAACTTAAATTCCACGCGGATGAAGTCGCGGGCACGGCTAGTATTTAATACATACAATTATTTGACGGCCTCGGTGGTCTCACACCGCTTTTACTTCCGATGGTCGCGGGTTCGAATACAAGCAGTTGTATTAATGTATAGATTTGGGTATAATCTATGTATATTACGTATGTATTAACAAAAAATATATAAGTTTTTATATCAGTTGTCTAGAACCCATAACACAAGCTCTGCTTACCTTGAGACTAGATGGCGCTGTGTTAATTATACATTATGTATAATATTTTGTTATAATAGCGTTACAGATAAACTGATTAATAAAATATTGTAATTTACATTACATTAGAATACTCTGATTTATATCTACAGCTTATGCTTCCCTCCAATTGATCCCCCACCGATTCAAATGGGGATCGAAATTACGATGGCCTCAGCCGAAGTTCGAACCCCTAGCGGTGCCCTCCCACCAAAGTCGTGTCAGTTCGGCAGGAGTTGGTCTTCAAACACTCCATAAGTCCTTCGGCGAGGTTGGGTCATCGTCACTGCGTTAAAACTAATATTCTAAAATAAAAACTTTCAAATATACAATCACAGATGCAGCTGGTAACATTGTTTGAAATTTTGACACTTAAACCTGTCAATTTTATCTCTGAAATTAAAAAAACAGATTTGTACTCACCCAAGGGTTGTGACTCGGCCATTTTTATTTCCTTCCTGTTAATTCCACTATCTGTCCAAAGAAAGAACTTTCATCGTTCTAGCTGCAAAAATATCGAATTTCCATACAAACTTTCATCCCACATTTTATTTTTATTTTTTGGGTAGGATTTTATTTTTTTTTATAACACAGGGGACAAACGAGCTTGCGGCTCACCTGATGGTAAGTGATTACCGCCGCCCATGAGCACCCGCAACACCAGGAGAATTGTAAGTACGTTGTCGGCCTTTTAAAAAGGAATAAGCTCTTTTCTTGAAGGTTTCAATATCGTATCGGTTCGGAAATACCATTGCTGGAAGGTGATTCCATAATGTGGTTGTGCGAGACAAAAAGTTTCTAGAAAACCGCACTGTGGAAGACCGCCATTCATGCAGATGATCAGGATGGTATTTTATTTAGATTTAATCAACGGCCTAAAAAATAGTTTCTAACTTCGAAAATGGCTATACTTCCATACTACCTGGCATCTCACGTTTCAACCCCTTACAACTCTTTTTCGCTAAAAACTAGCCTATGTTATTTCTAAGACTATCTGTATACCAAATTTCATTTAAATCAGTTCAGTAGTTTTGGCGGGAAAGCGTGACAGACAGAGTTAATTTCGCGTTTACAATATTAGTAAGGAATTCAACCACACTTAAAAGAGCAACACACAAGTTTCTTGTTCATTCTTCTTGTGATGAGACAGCATTCCGAATGAGCGGTAGATTAAAAAAAATGTGATGACTATTCAAAAGTGCTTCAATGTAAGTTTATTTGAATAAATTATTTTCTATTCTATTATATTCTAACCCAATTCCAAAACAAACTAAATATTTGCAGTCTCAATGTTGAACCCACTGAACAAATAAACACTGTATTCTAAGAGTAAGCACTGCACATATAAGGACGAGAAACCTTCCAAATAAATACTTGCTTTAAAATATAGGTACCACAACACATTTCCACAGAAAATTTTGAAACTTTTGATGTAAGACTCGGGGCTAAATGTAGATATATATGTACCTAGATCAAGTTTAAATATATATGTAAACCTACAAGTATATCTATAAAACGTGTACAATATCACAGAACACAAATCACTGTTTATAATTATACTGCCGCAAAAAATAATTCGTTGGATGTTTTAAAAACATTGATGGTGATAATTTCAAGGTTATAATTACTACCTGCAGCGGTAAATATATAATCAGTACACAGTTCACATAAAATACTCGTATTATTTGAGAGTCACGACTCGAACGTGCGATACGTAAAGCTATCCGTATAAAACTGGCTTCTATTTTCTATTCAGATGACTTATTGGCTGACTAACAGAAACAAGTTGCACTACTCTACTAGTATGTAATGTTATGTTATCTGTGCTACTAGTGATTACATCATCAAAACATATTTGCAGTGAATAGGCAGAAAGGACAAAGGAGCTCACCAGTGAATTCTTTCTTCGACTTCTCCCGATGATTCTCGGCGCTGGTTCTCTTTTCTATTCACTAAGACCACAGATAATATAATATTACATACAGATACCCCATCCCATACAAGAAAATGGTTCCTTCCTAACTCGGGCTATTCTTCGGGCTATTTTATTTCGCCGCCGTAGGCGCTAGATGTCGCTATATCTGAAGCAGTTCGGATTACTAGTGGGTGATTAGTAATAAAGCATGAAAATAGATGGCAGAGAATTCGGTCTACATGACATCTGTTTTGCAAAGATACGTACATAATAGATATATAACTGTATCGAACTCCTGATTGGGTACAATCGAAAATTCAATGTAGGTATAATATTGTTCGCTGACAGTCTACAGACACGGCTAATGTACCTATGTATCTATGTACTATGTTACAGTTACTTTTTTACATTAGGCATGTGTGGCTTTTTTTCTCCCGACAAAGATATGTCGTAACGCGTCTGCACTAAAATCGAGCTATCGGTTAAGGAGCAATAGCTCCTTAACGAATAGCCCGATTTTAATACGGTTTTTTTTATTTAAATTGTTATGTGATAGTGATAGATTTTAGCTATAATCAATTGATGTGCATATGGGTACCTCATATAATTTTCAGTGTATAATTATTTCTCAATATGTAGTTAATTATGGTAAACTGGCAATTTGTAAAACTGAAAATAATATCTGCAAACCATCAATCTGTTATATGTAGGTTCCTTCAGGGATACTACATCGGTGCTAATGACATGTAGGTACTTATTTTGATGTTATACCTATTTGTAGAACCTTCGATATCTACAAACTACGCCTTTACTGCTAGTTTTTTGGTATTTATATGTAAGTTGTTATTCAGTTGAAATTAAGCTGCGAAATTACAGGATATTTGGACATAACATCTATGTTCTCCGGAATGATAACGTATGCGGGATATAGCGGGCACGACATGATGACGTAATGCTGTTTAATAATATATGTGTATGTATGTACGTCGGATAGCGTCGTGGTTGGATGGATCGTCAGCTTATTTACCATTTCAGTTCATAATAGTAGGTAGTAACTTTTGACAATATGGATGAAGGAGGGTAACGGTGATGATGATGAGATCAATAATGACTGTTGACGATAGTGACGGTGGTATTTATTTATGACCACGATAAAATTCATCATTGGCAGTATTCTCAACATTATCATCATTGTTCATCATGATGATTGAGATCAAATTAATTAATTGATTAAAAAAGTAGCAAGTATTAGGTAGGTACTAAGTCCTTATATGACTTAAATACAAGGTTCTGGGATGCTGTGATATACTACAGTCTCTAGATTTTGTTTCTTATTAGTATTCCACAACCAAAGTCTATAGACAGAGAAATATAGATTTACACAAAGTTTTTTGATGTAAATGGGAATTATTATACACATTGCATTAAAAAATATATATGATTACCATCTAATACAAAATCATTATGTAGTAAATAATTCCTGACATTTTAAATCGAATGAGGTGAAACTAACATTGCATGAACACAACACTTGAAGATCATAACATTTTTATTTCAGGTAATAAAACACTTTTAAATAATTCATTAATCACAGAATAAACAATTGTTAATAATTTACAATAATATTTCTTTCACTGCTTGTCTGTTATACCACTAAAACTTCAAACGCTTCTGTTATTTTTATATTATATTCCAAATAAATCAATATCAAGACATATTTCATCAAAATCATTTCATAATTAATTCCTGGTACACAAAATATTCCTGGATTTGTTGATGAAGCAATATAATAATAATCATGAGCTTAAATCATAAACTTATTTGCAGTCGGTTACACATAATATAATTACTTGGAATTTCTTCTCATCACTAGTCCGTTGCTTTCTTACTTATTTAATTATATTATTAATTGCATTGTGATTAATAATTTACAGATTTTTCTTCTGCTTTTTTCTCTTATTTTTACTTGCATTATTATTTTATACAGTAAAATGTTCATATATATATATATATATATTTCTTATTCTTTTGAACTCCTGTTCTTTACAGTAAAAATGTTATTTATCTTCATCTGAATGACTAGGAGATTTAGAATATCATCTCTTATTTGTTTAAACTTTGTTCAGTATTAAGTTGTTGATGTCAGGAAAATCTGAAAACAATATCATATACCATGTTACATTTTCATGAACTTACATGAATGAATTTACATGAAAGTAACTAAACTGTAACCTTATTAGCACAATAAACATATTATTCATACATCATATTCATTCAGTTCTAATAAAATATAAAAATAATACTACTGTTTAGTTAGTACTTTATTTTGATTAATAATTTTCAGTATTTTCTCAATCAATCAATCAATCAATCAATCAATCAATCAATCAAAAATTATAAAATCAGTGTTAGTTTTCTTTTTTGAAGTTACATTCATAACAATAATAAAAACATAATAATACCACATTAAAGCGGTCACCAAGTACCTATGTTTATTATATTTTAATATGAAAGATACACACGCATACATATGCAAGTTTTTAACAACTTATAGTTATACCTGCTATGAGATAATCCTCAAAGACACGATAGTTTACTAAATATTTGTAGTAGTCCTTAGACACATTTAAATTATTGAGTTTGACAAAAAATAAGAAGTTCAATGAACTCTGAACAGGAACAATTCAAAAGTTGAAGTACCTACTTAACTTAAATGATGAAAAAAGAGAAAAAAGTCGTTTATCCTATTCTTTTATTCCCATATTTTATATTTTTAATATTTCATTTATGTTGCCAGTACTCGTTGTCATTTCGATATAATAAAAAAATATGGACCAACCTACGATTTTAAATCGATATTTTTATTTGTGATGAAATCTAATAATATAAATTATGAATAACCTACCCTCGAATGGAGATATTAAAAAACTAATTATCATGAATAGTAGGTACTAGGACCAGTAATATATCATAGTATTATGAATGATTATCGTTTCAAAACCTTGTACAATTTAGTAAAGTTGAAAATATCCTTCTACAAAAGCAAAATTCGAGTATTTGTAAAGTTTCTTATGAGTATTTTGACATGACACTCATATTTAGCTACCAATGTCAGTAATTTAGATACCATATAACACTTGTTTATTGAGGTTTCATAAAAGTATAGCTGACCTTATATACTCTATACCACATTAAATTCTCATTCATTAAATTACAATAAGTAGGTATTTATTTTTTTTAATAGAAGAACTATGTCACTAATGTCATTAATTGCTATAATTACCAGGGTGACCGCGTGGAGGTTGATATAATAGAGTACACTTGTATCAGATCAATCTAATTAATATTTCCCTCTTCAAGTTTCGAAGTTATGAGCGAACAGATAAATATATAGTACTTGCATACCTGTCAAAATCTCTCTATTTTGCCGTCGTCGAGTAAAAATTATGCATTGCAATTCGTTCCAAATAAGAGTATAATACAAAATGATGAAATTTTACTGTTTGCAAAGACTAATTAAAAGCACCATCGAATAATGCGTTGTAATATCTTGTTATCGATTATTCGAAAAAATCGATAAATCTATGCATTTATTTTTAATATGGCAAAACTTTCTAAATAAGTATTACTGGAATAATATGGTTTTCTTGTTTAGCTGTTTTATATTTACTTAAACTTTTTTTATGTTTAATTTATCATAATAATATAGTAAGTACTTATTATTTGAAAATATAAAATAAACATTTAAAATACGGTGATACAAATGAAAACAGCGCCATCTATGAAAGTATTTTGGAAACAATAAGCCCCAATTAGCAATGATTAAATTGTAAACAAATACAGGGCAACAACAAAATGAGTAAATATATGAAAATTACTTTTCAAAACGCATTATTTCATTTTAACATCTATATATGACTTTTTAAAAATAGATTAAACCTTTTTAAAAACATAGTTTTGGGTTTTAAACGATTACAAAACAATGTTGAATTCCATTCGATACCAATGATGCCATCTAAATCCGTTTTTCGAACTAAAAATGGCTACTATGCCATTGATCCCCACTGCTAAGACTAATATTTTTCTTAAAACTTCTTGATCAACAGACACAACACAATAGTAGTGGTATATTTTATCCACAAGTGGATAGGCAAAGGTACGAGACCATACAGCCTAATCTTCAGTAGTACTTCCATGAAATTCAAAAATTCTTCAAGGCGATATCGCCAAATCTTTTCAGTTTGTGTTAAGTCCATGTATGTGTCCATAATTGAAATGTTTATAATAGACACAACACACTACTGATTTATTCTCACTTTATGCATTTTTTTACTATATACATAATAGTTTTGGACAGGTGGATATTGAGCAGCGTTAGCGATGGCGGGCGGCGTTGAACTTGAACTTGAACTAACTGAGCGGAAGTCGTCTTTCTATTTCTTCTTGTCCTTTGACATGTTACATGGTTTCAGGAAGTAGGACAAGGAAGGACATATATGGGATGAGTATGTGTGAGTGAGACAGCTATGCAAATTAAAACGCGCGCTTATGTTTCTATTATATTGGTAGTTAAAAAATGAATGAAGAGATGCGCGGCTGTGTGTGAGTGAAATAGAGTATTGGTCGAACTATCGCTGCGTAAGGAAAGTAAAAGCACAGATAACATAATTGGTATAAGAAAATTAAATAATATTACGTTTCGGCGTAAACAATATTACAAATGCGTAAAGTAAAGTGCGGAGTATGGATGTAGGTTTGTTACTCTTTCACGCAGAAACTACTGAACAGATTTTGTTGAGACTTTACAATGATGTAGTTTATACATCAGAGTAACACGTAGGCTATAAATTTTAATGGGTGAAACCGCAGGCACAGCATACTTATTTATTTAAACTGTAATAAATTTTGTACAATACGCGGTACAATATTTACTAGATAATAGTATTGACTAATAGCTATATTTTTTTACAATTCACATTTCTAATTGATTGATTCTTAATTTATTTTCACTCATATGTCACCTACTTTATTGTAATCGAGAGACTTCAATCGATTATATAGACTTCGAAATATCTATTCGTCAGATTTTAATCAAACTATAGAGGTAAGTGTAGGGGAAGCTCAAAATTTGAATTAACTTTAATAGAATAAAAAAAAATTGTTGCCGTAGGAAAAAATTACCTTTTTTTTTTTTTTTTCACGTCAGGAAAATCCATCATGGAGAACCATTCCCTTAGGGAAGAATGGATACTGCCGGACTCCTACCTGCTAAAAACCTGACGACTGTTCCTCCTCGACATAATCGCCGTGGCCATGGGATACGCAAAGCATTCACCAAGACCACCGGCATGGTTCCCATCGAAGGGACCTCCATCTTGGCGTGCAGGGAACAGTCTCTGCACGCCACCTCCAGACCCTAAAACCTCCCCGGCGAGCTTCGGATTGCCCTAACAATCCTCCACCCTAGGGTCAATTTTGGAGTCGATGCACACCTGATTTTACTCAAGTGTCCATCGACTCCCCCCCCCCACCTGTGGCCCGTGCCGCGGCTCGGGCCTTTGGCGGGCGACACATGTTCGTGACGCCCACTCTATGGTCGGACTTGCGACCCGCCGCGGCACAGTACCGGCATTTCGGTGATGGCGCGGCGCACCGTGCGGCCTTATGGCCGGGCTCGCTGCAGCGGAAACAAATTCCGCTGCTGTCTTCCCCGGCGGTGCATCGGATACCCACATGGCCTGTAAGTAGGCACCGATAGCACCGCTGAGGACGCGGGTCCAGCGACTGTACCCGCGCCATCACCCACCCTATCTTTAGTCGGCCGGCCTCGGCTAGCTTCCTCGCGGCGGCTACAGGGCACCGCACCCACACGGAGCCCGTACCCTGGGAGTTGCGCCGGATTTCCCCGGTTTTCACCGAGGACTCCAGGCAACCCCCCTCGCGCATCACAGCGACGACCACGTCAGCTACCAGCACCGAGTCGTCCAGGTCTCCGATCCTCAGTTCGGCCGACTTGACTGGCCTGGAGACCCGGACTGCGTCCTCGGGCAGGACCTCCTCGATTCTGGCAGCCAACGCGTCTGCCACCTCGCCTGTGTTTGCGCCAGGGATTTCCAGGATACGAGCCCCGGTTCTTCCCACTCGGAACCTCAGGTCGGTGATACCGAGCTGGGCCAAGGAAATCTTGGCTTTCGCTTCGGTGAGCACCGACCTGTAGGTGACGCCTCTCTCCTCGGCTCCCGGCCTCATGGTGAGAACCACCGCCGATGACCGAGGAGGGCGTGCTTTCGCCTTCTTCTTCCGAGCGGGTGCGTTCCGCTGCGGTGCCGCTGTTTGGCCACCACGTGGCCCCTTCGCTGGGCGCGCATTGGCGGGAGCCGCCTGGCCTGCGCCAGCGCCTTTGCGCTTGCCGCGCCGTACAACCGTCAACCATCCCTCCAGGAAAAAATTACCTACTGCAACCTAGACGAAACATCGAGAAACTGGAATAAGTATTACAATAGTGTTAGTGGTCTTAACACGATTAATACGTAAAAATAAATTCTGAGTTGACATAAAAATAAATATATTATAGAATAGAAAATCATTTATTCAAGTAAACTTAATTTAAGCACTTCATTATCATTACATAGTATAAAACAAAGTCGCTGTCGCTGTCTGTCCGTCCCTATGTATGCTTAAATCTTTAAAACTACGCAACGGATTTTGAAGCGGTTTTTTTAATAGATAGAGTGATTCAAGAGGAAGGTTTATATGTATAAAATATTTATAAGAAATCTCAAGACATTATTGATTAAAAAATGTTATTATACAATTTTAGAATATAAAAATGACATATTGAATTAAATATTATACAATTTTAGTAATTAAATATATACAATTTCAAATTATTAATTATTATTACTATTTTTTTATTATTATTATATATTATATAAAAAACAACTCGTCCTCCTCTCTTCTCTTGTCTTCCGCTTGCTGTGCCCAACAGAGTCCATAATTAACGTACTTTGAAATGTACCTGTCTATCTATCTACTGTAAAATTATGGAATGCAAAGCTTAAATAAATAAAAAAATAAATAAATGTATGATACATGTACACCCGGGCGAAGGTAGGGCGAGTAGCTAGTTTGAATAAAACAGGAATCACCTTCGCTTTTTTACAGTCATTTCAAAAAAGTGACCTAATGGAGTTAGTTTTTATTTTGCCCTGCCTTCCCTCCCAGCCGAAAGTGACCCGATTTTCCGCTGCGCCCCGACGGCACATCTCGTTTTGCTAACATTATTCATTCAAAACATCATTCCTTCGTTTATTCATCGTCATTCCATTTATACAACATGAATATACTTCTTCTTTCGTTTCAATGGCAACTAAATGTATTTTCCCCAGAATGTTGCGACGACTTTTGCGCATTCTGTCGCATTTTTCAGATCTTCCTTTGTACAGGATGTTGGGCACAAACAGAGACAGGGGACAGGTCAACAGATGGGCCATAGTCTGGGATGGCGCTCCGCAGTCACAAGTCTCACTTGATGCGATTCACTATTTTACCAAGTTGTACCTGCAGCGGGCCTGGGTTCGCAGCCTGTTAAGCGATTTCCAAGAGATAGGAGCCTGCAAACAGCTAGACATGGTAACGTCTAGGCTGGCCAATTCCCTGACCACAATGACAACTCAAACGATGAATATAATATCATGGTAATGACCATCTCCATCATCCTCCAAGTGAGAAGAGGAGAGTTCTCTATTTGAATCTCATCTTTCACTACCTCCGAGCGTAGGTGGTGAAAGATGAAAGCGACAGATGTATAAATGTGTAGAATTGATAATTAGAAATTACTAAATGTGTGAAACAAATAATAATAATTTTTAATTACCACATCTAAAGTACAATATTTTTTTAGTAAAATATTGAATATCTTTAAATCCTACATACACTCACAGCCTCTTGAACTACGAATCACTGATACATTATGTTATCTTATGTAATATTATATTATCTGTGTCTGTGCTGACACTTTGTCCGCTCTGCTACCCTATCGTTATAAGCTGTGGATACCAGTTTATTCTCTATTCTTTTTGACTGATCTTGTTTGGACCTCTAATGGGAAAAATTTCAAATTCAAATTCAAAATTCATTCATTCGTGTAGGACATTTTAGCCGCTTATGAACGTCAAGTTTTTATAATATAATTTTTCCCTACCGTCCAGTTTAGTATATATATCCAATTGAGAAGAACTGGCAAGAAACTCAATTGAATTACTTTTTTTTTAAAGCCAGTTTATTTACAATGTACACTTATATAGGTGTCTATGTCTAACATTAAATGAAAATCCCGTGCATGAACAACTATTGCCATGCACGCTCGTCATTTAAGTAATCGTTTAGTGAGTAATAGACTTTGCTCAGTAAATATGTTTTAACAGATTTTGAATTTATTTATTCAAAACACTTTAAATTGTTTATTTGAATAACGATTATCTGTACTGTATTATATTAAAACTAGCTACTCGCCCCGGCTTTGCCCGGGTGTATATGTATTTATTTATTTTATTTATTTATTTATTTAGGAAGATTAACGGTGAAATTTTACATATTACTTGTCATATCACATGTATTATACATATAAACCTTCCTCTTGAATCACTCTATCTATTATAAAAAACACCGCATTAAAATCCGTTGCGTAGTTTTAAAGATTTAAGCATACATAGGGACAGACAGACAGCGACAGCGACTTTGTTTTATACTATGTAATGATGTGTAGGTATAGATAAAACTTTTGTTGTTAGTTATATATGAGACGCATGCGTTTTGATTATAAATAGATGGAGGTCATCTTGTTAAATCTATGCATATAATAGTTTTAATAAATATATCAACGGACTAGCAATGGTTACAATTATAGTCAATCTCAGTAAGTGAGTTTGATCATCAATCTATGTCGAAAACATCAAAGAAATGATATAAAGAGTAGTGGTGGTTTTACGCTCAATACGGACGTGAATGCTACCACTTACCACTCGTTAGGTATGTAGATTTTATGCTCAATACAAACAGACACACACATAAAGTCATATACACAGATAAAGTTACAATTAGATTGTGGAATGAACTTCCTGCCAAGGTTTTCTCACGAGACTACAGCATGGGGTTTTTCAAGAAGAGTATATTAAGGTTTGTTAAGGGTTGGCAACGCTCACACCCCTTGTGTTTCAGGCATTCATAGGCTACGGTAACCATTTACCATCAGATGGGCTGTATGCTTCTTTGCCACCCTAGAAGTATAAAAAAAAAACTTGGTTTTTTTATTAATGGGATTGGGCTATTGCCAATTGCTTTACCTGTAGCACTCCGATGTACATAGATCTATTGTGAAAGGCTGTTTTTTTATCTTAGGACAATTCACACAGCGCCATCTAGACCAAAGTTAAGCTAGCTAAAGCTAGTGCTGTGGGTACTAGATAACTGATATAAATGTATAGATATATTTTTTTCGTAAATACATATCAACATATTATACATAGCAACAACCCAGATCGATACAAACAATCATATTTATAAATGCAAATGTTTGTGCCGTGCGAGGAATCGAACCCGCAAGCATCGGTGCGGTATGCTAAACCGCTAGACCATCGAGCACGTCGATTGTAATTAATAACAAACAACTCTTAATTAATTTAAATATTTATTAAATAGCATTTTTACAATCTAATCAGTTCGAAATCTAACGTAATAATAAAATTTTCACGTAAACTTTAAGAGGACTTCTCTCCACCGGAACTCGACTTGTCCTGGACAGGAATCGTCTTCTCCGTCAGTGGTTCAGCTCTGAATGCCACTAGCTTCAACTTCCCTTTGTCGAAGTGACATTCCACTCGCTCTGGTGGAAAACCCTCGGGCAACAGAAACCGCCTCTCAAAATTGCTCCTCGTCCAGCCGTCTTCTCGCTTAACCTCCTTCTTTCCCTCCACCGTAACCTCATTTCCAATTGTCTTCACTTGGATCTGGTCCGGGGTGAAGTTCTGAACATCTAAATGTACTTCGACCTTCGTCCCATCTACTTTCACTTCTGAATCAGAGTAAATACCTTCGATACCATGATTTGACTCCAACGGCGCTGTCACTTGTTTAATGTATTTGACAGGATCCCGGAAGAAAGGGTCTTTGGCAAAAACGGCGAATGGATCTTCAAATGCTCTGACGATGGGATCTCTGTACGCCAGATTCCTCAAATGTCGCAACCAATATGGCACCAGAGACATTTTTGTTGTTTTCTTTCTCGATTCGTGCAATTGGCTTACTAAATTGACACTGTTTACTCGCGTTGCGCACTTGTGTCTTTATATAGTGACGATTACAGCGCGATCTGTTATCGAGAGGTTTCGGAAATGTTCTGTAAGCTTCTGGCAATTTCTCACTACATTTAGAACGTACAGCGACATCTATTGATTCTCTATGGAATTACACGAGCATTACGAAAATTTTAAATTGTTAATTATAGTTTAATACACTATTCTTAAACTTAATAATTCCAAATATTATTTATTATGGACTAAAAATCCGTTATAAGCATTGTGTCACGTAATTAAAAGCTATTTTAAATACAGGTTGCAATGAATTACTTATAGTCACAGCGCCATCTATTATCGAGTAGCATAAATAAAGACCTTGTAATTTCTAGTTAATTTTAGATTTTTCAAGAAAACAATATCAAAACAATCACTCCAATTATAATTTAAATAATAATTATAGAGAGACTATTATAAGTCTTATGTTTTTAATAGATGAACAATTATGATTGTAAACAACTGATTTATTGTGCAATTCCCGGATGACGAAATTATTATCTGCAATTTTGCAATAATGGTGAAAAACCTCAGTAACCATATAGACTTATTAAAAACCAAATCTGAGCAAGCACTCACACAGGAATTAATTGATCCCACTAATGCATTCGTAGTCATAATAAACAATATAATCTTGATATTAAAAACGCGAAAGTTTGTGACTATGGATAAAATGGATGGATATTTGTTTCTCTTTCACGTTAAAACTATTGAACGAATATTGATGAAACTTTACAGTAATATAGCTTATAGGTACATCAGAATAATACATAGGCTATACATTTCACACAGGTGAAACCGAGGACACAGCTAGTATCATATAAATTGTATTAAAAAAACATACAATTTAAATACAGGACGATCAAAACACTTCTAATTACACATTTCTTGCCAAATTCTGATAAGTTGTTTGCAAGTTCTAAAGCAACAGATGGACATATAGGTACATATTGGTCAATGTCATAACCCTCTTTTTTTTTCAATTAATTGGTATATGAAAAATTGAAAAAAATATATAGATGACGATGTTAATAGTGCTTCCACCTGCTCTATGAGGCACGGTGGGAGTGCGGGAGTTAGATATGCCAGTTTTACATTCAGCCGCTTCCCCTGCCACTCGCGCTGCCGGAAATATTGCCGCGTCAGCGTCGACGGGAGTCGACGCGAGTGTCGATTACAACCCTCATACTTATTACTGGGCGACTCGCAACGATGGCGGTCATCGTCGTGGTTGTTGCGGCAACAGCTGCATGTCTGCTTAGTGTAATGAATTAACTGAGCGAGAAGGCTGAATGTAAACACACGCTGCCACTTGCGATGTCAGTCCTTTGACTCGCGCTCGAAAAACCGACAATTGGGGGTGGACCGGGTAGCGCGAGTGGCAGCGCCAATGGCATGGGAAGTATCGTGTTTACACTCTCGCGCTGCTCACTTCCCTACCCACTCGGGCTGTAGTGTAAATTGGGCATTAGTAAAGTTTTCTAATGTACCTATTGCTAGCAATGCCAGGTACATTAGTACATTCAGGTAGACCTCAGGTAGACGAGTAATAAGTTCCTGGTGAAATTGTCACAAAGTGCTGTTAGTAATGTTCCATATCCATTCCATTATGATCCTTTAAAAATCAGTCACGAAGATTTTTCGATTATTTACAATGTACTCTGAACCTTATATCTTTTATATATTATTCTTTATATATAATATCTATCTATCTATAATATATCTTTATATATATTATTCAGAGAACTGCGGGGGGTTGTAACCATGCTAAATGTATGGCAATGAGCAGCGCAAGTTATAATACTGTTACGAGCAATATGTGAAAAAATTTAGTTTCATAAATTAACGAATTTGATATGAAATTGTATACACCGTTGTTACCCAATATACGCTTTCAATGATGCAGGATGATAGAACCAACAAAACTGTCTGGTAATTTAGGAAACACAGTTTAATAGTTCTCTGATTAATATATATAAACTTCAGCTTTATTAAAATAACGTAAGTTTATTTATAAAATAATATAGTTTAGGGGGGTCTGGCAGGGGGTTGGAACCATACTAAGTATCTGGCAGTAGCCCACTCATGCATAAACGAAATATCTCCTTTGGAAAGTTTACACTCTTTCCCGAGGAGATAAAAACGATCGCTCCTAAGAATATCCTTCAATTCTTGTCCCTGACGGGTCTAGGTAGCGAACTCTGAAAAGGGCGAGCACAATAGATCTATGTAGGTCGCAGTACTACAGGTGCTACACATCTGACAATAGCCCAAACAATCCAATAAAAAAAAAAGTATCTGGCAATGAGCAGAGCAAGTTATAATACTGTAACGAATAATATGTGAAAAAATTAAGTTTCTTAAAATAACGAATTTGATATGAAAAATTTTTCACCCTTGTTACCTGTTACCTGCCAAAGGAACCACGATCCAGGTTTCATGTTTGGGGATCGTTCATACCTGTGTTGGGGACACACATACAAGAACTTTCACATTTACTAAGACGAATGTCTGGCCATCGTGGGCTCTTGGGCTATTAGGAACGATGATTTTTATTTCCTCAGGATATAGTGTAAACTTTCCAAAGGAGATATTTCGTTTATGTATGAGTGGGCTACAACCAAATAGGACTTTTAGTGGCGTTTCCTCTTCAGTTTGGGAAAATCTGTAGATTTTTGTTGTGTATAGGCCTAGGTTTGCGACGTTTGTTTAATTTGCAGTGTCCGGTGAGGGCCCTAGTCATGACGCATATGTTGTTTTTACTCAATAGCAGTAGTCTATTGGAGTATTTGTTCGAGTAGCCCGATATTAGGGCTTTTAAATATACTAATCCTTGCATTTTCTGCCAGTGATATGCTTCCTGTTTGGTTATTAATTTGAGATGTCCTAGTTTTAGGCAACGAGGCACGCCACAGGGTTCAGTTCTCTGTTGGGCAATTTTTGCCCCTAACTTTGTCAGTCGGCATTTTCATTGCCTTCAATATTTAAGTGCACGTGGTTCCATCTCAGTATAATATTACTTATGCTTCCTTCATGATATAGTTTCTTGAGATAATACAACTCTAAGTTTTAGATAGCGAATAATAATAATTTATTTGACATATAATTTACAAATTTTACAATATAATAATATATATCTATGAAAGGTATTATTTACTACAAACATGGAAGTATGAACAACAGTTTAGTCTCGTTCACACAAGAGTACAATGTGCGTCAGACAAGAGATGTGTACTTCCAAAATAAACCAGATTTGATTTCAGTGTTTACAAAACAAATAAGTACTTAAATACTTGTAATAAATATGCAAATAGATTGACACAACCATTTGTAGTGGTCATAAACAGGTATCTTTTATTAAAGAATGATAATAGAATGCTGCACTCGCCTGCGCTAACGCTATACGCTGGCGGGGCACCAGTGGAGGATGATAAGATGAGTATGAGGTCAGGTCAAGTAGTCCATTGTGGTAAATCTGCCAGGAATTTAACATAATGGTTTTCAGGGGGAACCGCAGAATGTCGACCTGACATTGTACATTGCTAGCAATGGGGCGAAACACCTTCCCCCAAACAGGTATCTAAGATTTTTTTTTAACGAATTGTCAAACAAAACAGCCCACCTAATGGACAATGGTGATCGTCGTATAGTGTCGTTTAGGGTGATTCACCCTTACTTAGGGGTATGAGAAATTGTTTATATTCTATTCTCAGCCCTGCTGAATATACATACAAAATTTTATAAGAATCGGTCAAGCTACGGAAGAGTTTTAGTATCCGTCAGGTGGCAGTTGCCCTTCAGCCGCTCCATAAGTTCCGCGGGTTTGGAGTGCCATCTGCATTCGCCCCCTATCGTCCGGTGAAACTGTAACCAGCTGGGGCCAACAGCTTTAGAGTAGTCCGAAAAAAAGGGTACTTCCGTAGTTTACCTACCTGAATTTCCTTATATATCAGTATTTTGTTTATTCTTATATATATTTACATATTCTACTATGCCGTTTATTCTCTACCCAAAGGTCGTCTGGAAGAAATTGCTTACTTGCGGTAGTCGGTCTTTGTGCATCAAAATCTGTTGTCCTGTATTGATGTAGTCCGAAAAGAAGCAAGTTTTATAACAAACACTTGAAGCTGTAAAACATCTCCCGTCCTTAGCATTACAGTAATCCGAAAAAAAAAAGTTTTGTTAAAAACACTGTGACTCGAGAATTATAAATTAAAATTGCAAGGATTTTAGTATAAGACAAACTATAGATTTTAAAGATACGGAAAAACAGGATCATGAGTTCACAGAGAACCCTAACGTTGAAGCAACTCCTCGTGTTTTTATTTAAACGAACAATTTAGGCACGTTCACAAAACGATAATAATGTGCCCATATCATTAGAAATGTGTGAAACGCGTCAATACATGTATGGTGGGGTGTTTATAAGGGACTTACTACCACATTTATTGCAAGTTATTTCATAGAGTATTAGTGAAAATGCACGCCGAAATTATATTGCTTTTGCTCGTGATAGTGGCTGGCGTTTTTCCTAAACCTTTGGATGATTCAGAGAATATTGGTATGTTGTACTTATTTTTTTTCTCTTCATTTTGGCAACAAACAGTCGTTATAGAAACATATAAATATACAAATAAACGTATTTTTACAGTAGACATTGAGTGCCGAAAAATTTTACATAATTTTACTGAGCCTTGTGGATTAATATAAAAAAAATACAAGTTTAAAGAAACTGCAATAAACTAACAAACTAAACTAAAGTAAACTAACTAATATTGTAATAATATCTGGTTAGAAGTTAGAACTAGTTTCCCTTCTTCTTCTTCCTCTTACTCTGTCTCACCAGAAGACAGCGCCAGGACGATCTGTCTTGGGTTGTCGGGCCGGGCAATTTTTTCGCAGCGTCAAGCTTGCTCATACTGGTCCACCAGGTGGCTGGAGGGGCTAGTTTTACTTAACAAATAAAAAAACTGTGATAGTCTTAGCCTGGTAGTTTACTATATAGTTTTATATAGAATAATATAGTATGTTAACTGATATTTCTAACTCTCCGGTGATGTAAACAGTGATAACAAAACAATTTAGTACTCCAGGTACGCCTGTCATTTTGGATTCAAATATACCTATTGAAATGTGGACATGTCAAATGTTGCGTTCAACACAACTCACGATGTCACTTAACAGTGTCTCTGTATACCCAATATAGGATGAGAGTCGCAAAAATATGTTGTAATTATAAAATAATTAGTTTACCTTTTTTTAATTAAAATCAAAACATTTTCTGAATTAATAGTGGGATAAGATACTTATTATAACATTAGCTATCTGCGAGTGAAAGTCCCGTCAAAATCGATCCAACCGTTTCAGAAATTAGCACAAACAGACAGATAAATTCGTTTTCATTAATTATTTGATGTAATGACCGTAGATATATACTTCTATATACACTTAGAGAAAAGCTATTAATTTGAAATTATAGGCAAATTCAAATTCAAATTATATATTTGTAAAGTACAGGTTACAAAGGTCTTAAGAAATAGACAGTAAGTTTCACTGTCTTCTGCAATTACGCGAAGAAAATAGACAATTCAATTTTTTTTTAATAATTATACATACAAAAATTAAAAAAAAATAATAATAATGACTTCATGGAAGTTTGTTATAGGTACGTAATATATATTGATATAATATTTCTGTTTCAGACATACAATATATGAGGCCATATAATAAAGTACATAATGTAGAGAGGAGGTTCATTAACCCCTCATTGACGTCTGGTGGCTTCGACGACATCGGGGTCACCAAGATGAGGACCAAACGAAGGTATTTTTTTTTAAATTTAACTAGAACTGACATCAGTTCTGTTAGCTCAGTGTGGTAAATTCACCAGGAATTTAACATGATGGTTTTCAGGGGGAACAGCGTGGACGACGACCTGACATGATAAATTGGCGCTACTGTTTCCCATTACTAACAACCCCCCCCCCCCCCCCCCCAAAACGTATTTAGGTTTTTTCACATTGAATCGTCAAACAAAACAGCCCAGCTAATGGATAGTAGTTACCGTCGTGCAGTCATTTGGGGAGGAACTTATCACGATGGTCTCCAGGGGGAACCGTGTGGAGATCAACCTAGCATGTTACATTTGGTCGAAAACTGACCCGACTTGCATAGCTACCGATAGGGTATTAATCAACTAACAATCACCTTGCTACTTGTATGTAGTTATGAAAGACCAATGTTTAAATATAAACTACCTGCTGACGTTTTCTCGAGCATATTTACAGCATGGTGTTTTTCAAGAAAGGTATAATAAGGTTAGTTATGGGTCGGCAACGTTCACGTGACACCCCTGGTGTTTCAGGCATCCATAGGAGCTTAAAGCTCCATAAAATATTCTTATATTATTAATAGTCAACTTTAGCAACCAACTTTTTTTCGGACTACTATAATGCTGTTGGCCGTAGCTGGCCTTTACAGCTTCACCGGACAATAGAGGGCGAGTGCAAATGGCACTTCAAACCCGCGGAAGGACTTATGAAGCGGCTGAAGGCCAACTCCCGCTAGAGGTTCTAACTTCGGCACAGGCCGTAGTAATTTCGATCCTCGTTTAAATTGGACGGGCGATAGACCGGAAGGGGCTCTTAACTAACTGCAAAGAATATACTATTGATAATATTGGTACAGTTGACATATGGCCCTGGATTGGTCGCCCTGTTTTAGTGGTGGCACTGTTTATAGTCCTATGTCCAGCAGTGGACGTCTTCCGGGCTGCGATGATGATGATGATGATGACTGTTTATAGTGATTGCCCATATATATGTTCCAGCAGTGAAGAAGATTGTGAGAGATTGGCCCTGTGCAGACTCCACGCGCGGTCCGGCCGTAATTTCTTTGCAACATATTCACTTTATTTCGTCAAGTAAGTTCCAAATACTATATTCATTATTTATTACTTGCCGGGTTGTACCACGAATAATTTATGGCAAATAATGATGACATCAACCTGACTTTGGGACCGTTCTGCAACAGGGTTGCGGAAGACAGAGTTCAGCGGAGAAAGCTGGAGAAGGCCTATAATATAACAAAAGGCACACCTAGTTGGAGGACATTTTGTAAACATCAAAATGTATCCGACTATTCGGAAAAAAGGGCTATATTATAAAGGTACCTCTCTCGACGTTTCGATTAGGTTGTACTAGCCGTGGTCACGAGCTGTCTTAAGACCCGTTTAATAATATAAATAATGTATATCAAACACGAAAGTTTAAAAATAACTACTATGATACTCATACCTACTATTCAATTTCAATTGTTTTCATTAATACTGTGACGTATGCTTATTCTAAATTCGAATTGTCGCTAAGTAACATGAAAAAACTGATAAGTCAAATATTGTATATTCAGTTGCAAATTTTCTAATAAGTAATAAACACCTAAAACATTAATTGTAGTTATATTTGCAATATAGTGGCGACCGTGACGAAATAAAACAAAAATAGTACACCATGGATATCCTGAAACGCAAAAGAACACAATTTAGACGGGAATTCACCATCATATCCGATGCAATAGAAAAAGCGTTCGAAGCAAAAGACTCCGAGACAATCGACGAAAAATATACTACACTCACAGATAGTGTCGAAAGTCTATTCGAATGTGAAGCAGCAATTCGCAACCTATGGTGTGAGGATGATAACTTCGACGAACAGTCCTTTCAAGCCGACCAGGACAAAACACTCGAATATCGGGAAAAATGGTCAAAGATAAGGACAAAATATACGAAGTACATAAAAGGAAGTGATCCGCTACAATGTAGTTCCAACCATTCTATCGTTTCAGCTGAAACTATGGTGAAGTCACATAATAACCAATGCAACAACAAACAAAGGCTCCTAATCCCGAAATTAGAGATAATTAAATTTGACGGGAACGTGAAGTCGTGGCTGTTGTTCTGGGGACAGTTCCAGAAGGTACATGATGACAAGGAGATCAATGACTCCGATAAGTTCCAATATCTACTTCAGTCTATGGCAACAAATTCCAGTGCAAGACAGCTAGTCGAAAGTTATCCACCATGCGCTGCAAACTATTCAAAAGCTATAGACGCATTGAAGGCTAGATTCGCAAGAGACGATGTCTTAATAGAGACGTATGTCAGGGGCTTATTAACATTAATGCAAGATAAAAATCAATTATCTAACTCTAGTGACCTGCCTGCGCTGTATGATAAACTCCAAACGCATCTCCAAGCACTCGAGACTCTTGGAGTAACAAAAGATAAGTACGCTTCAATCTTATTTCCTATGGTAGAGTCAGTGTTGCCGGAAGAAATACTACGCGCATGGAACAGGCATAGGTCCGATAATAATAAAGGTCTCTCTGAACTTGTCGAATTTTTAAGACAAGAGGTAGAATCGGAAGAGAGAATCCAATTAGCTCGACAAGGTTTCATTCTAACGCCAACAACATCTAGTGAACCAAAGTCCCCTACTATATGTTTCATGTCAGAAACAAAAACACAAACAAAAGAAAAGCGTAAAAGTTCCATAATATGCATATGGTGTGATAGGGATTCGCATGGTAGTTCAGAATGTTATAAGGCGGCGAGAATGACTTTAAAAGAGAGAAAAGAGTTTGTTAAATCGAAGAAAGCATGTCCAATCTGTTTAACAAATAATCATCATTTTATGAAAAGATGTAAAAGTTTCCCAAAATGTTTATTCTGTAAAAAACGGCATTTTACTATAATGTGTCCGGATCTAGATGAACAAGGACAAAAGAAAAAGGAAATATGTGAGAATGAGGCGAACAATTTATTATGTCAATTAAAGCCTACAACATTACTACAAACCGTGGTAGTGGTAATTAAGTCTGGAAATAAAAAGATTCCTGTCAGAGCTCTTATCGATAGCGGGGCTCAAAGATCATATATCAAAAAAGATATTGTTCGAAAATTGAATTTAAAGTCAACTAGAAAAGAGCGAATAACTCATTGTTTATTTGGCGGCATAGAAACGAAAACCGAAGAACGTGACGTTTTTGACATAAGTGTTGATAGTGTTACTAATGACTTTAGTTTGAATTTATCAGTTTTAGAACAAGACAACATCTGCGGTTTTTTACCTAAAATAAGATCGTCTGTAATAATTGAGCAACTGCGAGATAAAGGTATCATTTTGACTGACAAAATAGACTCACCTGATGACGTAAGCTTATTATTTGGAGCCGACTTCTCTGGAGCTTTACTGACCGGTGACATAATCCACTTAGAAAACTTGACCGCTATAAAAACTAAATTAGGATGGACAATTCAAGGACCAACTACTGGTATTTATAGTTCTGTAGTTACAATGACAACAACATTACATTGTTTAACAAAAATTGACATTTCAGATCTATGGACATTGGAGACTTTGGGTATTACAGATCCAGTAGAACAAAGTAATAAAACTCAACAGGAGTTGAAGGTTTTACAATCATTCCAAAAGTCAGTAAAGATCAATGAAGAAGGTCGTTATGAGGTATGCTTGCCTTGGCGTGACGTTCCTCGTCCATCTGCTAATTTTGAAGTAGCGAGAAAACGTTTAGATTCCACGATGAAAAAATTACTGCAATTAGGTAAGGTAGAACAATATGACACTGTATTTAGAGAATGGCTTGCACTAAATATTATTGAAGTAGCACCCAATCAAGATGTTAAAGGTCACTACATGCCACATCACGCAGTTATAAAGGAATCGAGTCTTACTACAAAAATACGCCCTGTTTTCGATGCGTCAGCAAAAGACAAATGCGGCATATCATTGAACTCTTGTTTAGAAAAAGGCGTCAACTTACTTGAACAAATTCCTCAACTTATGCTTAATTTCAGAAAGGAAGCTATAGGTGTAACAGCAGATATTGCTAAAGCATTCCTACAAATATCAATAGTTCCGGACGATCGCGATTATCTACGATTCCTGTGGTGGTCTCATCCAAGTAATATGGATAAAACTATCGTCACTTATCGGCACAGACGAGTTGTTTTTGGAGTAGCCTCAAGCCCGTTTCATTTGATTGCGACTATAAATCATCATTTAGATCATTGTCATGATCACCTGAAACAAACAGCAGAACAACTGAAAAATTCATTTTATGTTGATAATTGTGTGACCAGCTTACCATCAAAGGCAGCATTAGATAAATTCATCAATGAGTCCAAGGAACTAATGATAAACGGTAAATTTGATCTTAGAGGTTGGGTATCGAGTCCAATATTAGTAGATAACAAGGTCGAAAATATCTCTATACTAGGAGTATTATGGAATATAAATGGAGATAATCTCAGATGTAACTGCAATTCTTTAAAAAATATAGATGAGAAAATAACAAAACGGTCGTTATTGTCTATAACACAAAGAGTTTTCGACCCAATAGGTATTGTATGCCCTACTACCATCATTCCAAAAATGATAATACAGGCGGCATGGACATATAAACTTACCTGGGATGAAGAGTTACCTCAAAACCTTGCAAAAGATTTTAAAACATGGCTTAGTCAAGCTCACCTTATTAATGAGTGTGTAATACCTAGACGTCTCACTAGTTCACCCATAAATGAGAGTAAAAACTCATTACACGTTTTTTGTGACGCTAGTAACAATGCGTATTCAGCATGTATATTCCTACGCGCGGATTACAACGGGAAAATAGACGTACGACTAGTTATGGCGAAGGCTAGAGTGACACCATTAAAGAAAATTACTATACCTAGACTCGAATTAATCGCCGCGACGCTAGCGACCAGATTGGCTGCTACTGTAACAAAAACATTAGCTTTACAAAATTGTCCGGTTTGGTATTGGACAGATTCGAGCGTTGTACTGACCTGGATCAAAGGAGACGGTGATTGGAGTATCTTTGTGAAAAACAGAGTTAAAGAAATAAAAAATTCTTCCTCTTCTACAGCTTGGAGACATGTTCCTGGAGACAGCAACCCAGCAGACTTACCTTCTAGAGGCATAAATCCAAAGAGGTTACTAGAAAGTAAATGGTGGGAAGGTCCTGCTTTTTTATTATTAGATGAAGAAGATTGGCCAAATGAGAAGTTTGGAATTGACTATAAAGAGGTAAATCAAGAAAGGAAAAAACATTGTATTCAGTCTATGCTTATTGAAGAAGAATTATTCTTAGAAAAACTCAGATATTTTTCAAATTATATAAAAATAGTCAGGATGATAGGTTGGATGTTAAGAATAAAAAGAAAACCAAAAACAACAGACTTGACTTACGAAGAGTATGAAAATGCTGAAAGAAAATTAATAAGAATAATTCAGAGTAGGTATAAGGATAATATAAATATGAAAAACTTGTTACTATTTACAGATGATAATGGATTATTACGACTGAAAACAAAAATTGATAAAGGAACTGAAAGGTATGATTTTAAATATCCTATAATACTCCCAAGTGAAGAGCCTATCGTACAACGCATGGTACAACAACGACATATTACTCTTCAACATGCAGGTGTACAATCACTAATGTGTAATTTGAGAGAGACATTTTGGATTATAGGGTTACGAAAAATAACAAGAAAGGTTGTTAGTAATTGCATAAGATGCAAAAGATTCAAAGCAAAGAGTTGCTATGTTCCTACTGGCAGCTTACCAACAGATCGTATGGAGGCAAATATGGCATTTGAAACCACTGGCGTGGATTTAGCAGGTCCACTTATGTTACGATCAGAATCTCCATACACTTGATTCTGATCGTAACATAAGTGTATGGATTGTCTTGTTTACTTGTGCTACATACCGGGCCGTCCATTTAGAGCTCGTCGAGTCCTTATCTACAAGAGATTTCATAATGGCGTTAAGACGGTTCACAGCACGAAGAGGCAGAGTAAAAACTATATACAGTGACAACGGTACCAATTTTAGAGGACTAGATAATTCATTCAATACTCTTGATTGGAATGAAATATTGCAGTTTTCTACCATAACAAGGATCAAATGGAAGTTCTTACCTCCCAGCGCACCTTGGTGGGGAGGGTTTTACGAACGGCTTATTGGCACGTTGAAACAAATTCTTCGAAGAGTGTTAGGTAGAGCATCGCTTTCATTCGTCGAGTTGCAAACAATACTTTGCGATTGTGAAGCTACTATTAACAATAGACCTCTGACTTACATAAGCAACAGTCAAGATGAACTTCGAGCATTAACTCCATCTATGTTTATACAATCGCAGGCACAGTGTGAAGTAAGAGATTTAGATGAAATTGATAGCAAGTCATTGAATATAAGAGCAAAACACTGTCAAAATACAAGAGACGCTTTCAGACAGCGGTTCAGAAAAGAATATATCAGTACGTTAATTCAACCTCGTAACAAGAAGTACGCTCAGCTACAGTGTGGTGATGTGGTGCTAATAGAGACAGAGGATAACAGACGGATTAATTGGCCGTTAGGTATAGTGGAGGAACTTTATGACGGTACAGATCAATTCTCTAGAGTGGCCAAAGTTCGTACAGCTACTGGAGATAGAGTAAGGCCTGTTCAACGACTATTCCCATTAGAAATACGACACAACGTTACCGATAATCATGATAGTGATACATCTAATGGGACAATGACTGAACAAGACATGACAGAAGAAGTCCATGACAACACAGACTCTACGACACGAGTATTACGTTCACGTAGTGGTCGCGAATTAAGACCACCACGATATCTTAACGACTTCACATGTTAAATATTATCATTATGTATATTTCACATATCATTGTTCACCTCCCGGTTTTTCTCGCTGCGGACTGTGACGTATGCTTATTCTAAATTCGAATTGTCGCTAAGTAACATGAAAAAACTGATAAGTCAAATATTGTATATTCAGTTGCAAATTTTCTAATAAGTAATAAACACCTAAAACATTAATTGTAGTTATATTTGCAATAAATACCACCGAAATTCCTGAAAATCAGCGCAGCAGTGACACGCTGCGGAACCAGCTGAGTGGAGGCTCTTTCAGCTTATACGAGTGGGTTGTGGCACCACCTGACTGTAGGCCCTTTCAGATGATACAGCAAAATTAGTTTTTAAGTTCTTTTATATTTTCCACAGTGTACTATAATAATAATAATAATATCTCAGGACAATTCACACAGCGCCATCTAGTCCCAAGCTAAGCAGAGCTTGTATTATGGGTACTAGACAACTGATATAAATACATGGATACATTTTTTTTTGTAAGTAAATACATATTATACATAGAAAACACCCAGACCGATACAAACAATCATACTCATGAATACAAATGTTTGTACCGTGCGAGGAATTGAACGCACAACCATCGGATAGTAAAGTGGTGTGCTAAGCCACTAGACTACCGAGGCTGTCATATGTTGCTGTACTATGCTATGTATATAAATTGTTATTATTATTATTATTTCATGTTGGAAATGAATAAATTTACAACTGTGAGAAAAATGATTCATTGTGCATTTTATAATGCTAATGCTTGTATTTTATGGTTTCATTTACATAGTATGGAAGCATTAAAAAATTGGAAATTTTGGTAAATTTTACCGACGAGTGGAAAGAGGAATGGAATTTGACCCTCTTTTTGTTCTAAAGGAAATAGAATTTAGAATTACAAAGAACGAACAGACAGTCAACATTTTCATTTTTTTATGTAAGTGCCGTTTATACTTTTATGTGTATTTAATGTAAAGCTGTTAATTTGAAATTACAAACAGACATTTAAATTTTATTTATTTCTATAAATTAAGTAATCTAGAATAAATTAGTTTGCAATTTACTCTATAATTATTTACCTGGATGACTTCTTACAAAGTCTGAATAATACTGGCGTACAACACTAGCAATCGGCTCAATCGGCCCTACCCGGTTGAGTCGGGCCTTTACTAGTGATGTGCTAACTCGTAATAAACATGACTCGAGTTAACTCGAGTTGACTCGAGTTACCTGGAATATTTTTATTTTTTCGAACAAATGTAATGTTTTTGGGCGTAGCTAGCCTTGGAAGCATAACCGAAATTTAGTTTAGGGGGCGAGTAGAAATGGTACTTTAAAGCCGCGGAAGGAATAATGGAACGCATAATCATTTTATTGATAACATAATCGGACGAATATGCAAAAAAAAATGATAACCTCAAATCAATATTGAACTATTTATGATGAGTGAATATTGTATGATATGAAATGATCGGGAAATTTCATGTTATTGTCGGTTCGATGACAGAATCATGCTCTCGCTCCTTCACTTGATTCATTCATTTACCAGTTGAATTCTTCCAATTCGAGTTGGCAGAAATCAACTCGAGTTGACATATCTCTAGCATTTACCCCTTACGACGTCGGCTACGTATGACGTGTGCGTAAAATTAATAATTTTACTTTTTTAAAACTTTTCATTGAGTCAGATTTCATTCATATCAATCTCGGAACAAATAATATAACTAGTGATGTATTTTGAATTTTATTACGTCCCTTTGTTTCAGTAAAGAGAACGCGAGACTTTGGGATCACCACGTGCACAGTCTCGCTGACTGCAGCCGGCGGTTTCATTGCTGACAGATAAATTGTCAAGCAGAATATTAATGAATGGTTATAATAGTGAATAGTTTAATAATGATTAGTGTTGAATGTGTGAATAACTATACCAAAAGTTGACTGATAGAATATGTTTGTAATCTTTGGTCTCCTGTGATGTTGACTAATCTTTTCGCTATTTCCTTAAAAAGCCATATAGCGCTAGGACTCCACGGACTAAGGGTCCCAATACCGAATGGGCCAAAATCAGGTAAAGCCGTCAAAATCAGCCTAGACCCCTGAATTTGCTTGCTTTAGCATTTGCGGCCGCTTCACAAGCCACACCAGCTCTGTTGTTGGTTCCATGTTGATTATTATATTTTCCATTTCTAAGTCATAGTGTAAGAATGTGAAATTGTAAATAAAAAACCTTTATAAACAACATACCGTTTTATTCTCACCCTTAATAATAATACAGGAATTCACACAGCATATAAATGCAATTCATAAATTATTTAAAATCAACCAACAATTTTTATAATAAATAAATTCACATGCATCCCATAATATTTATTGGAAATAAGAAATTCATTGGAGAATGGTTTTTAATATAAATAAAATTAGAGTTTAATATAATATGTACCTGATTTACAGCCTTTCTGAACGTGTAGACTATATGAACATACCAATTGGTAATATCTCTAAACTTACATGCAAATATCTTACAACCCAATACAATTCATCTTTACATAGTATGGTAATAACTTTGCACTCCGCAACCTCTCTTAATATTATTAAGTATTACCTTCTTTTATACCAAATAAAAGAAGAAAAAAAAACAATACTAACCCAGGACACTTCCAACAGCGCCATCTAGTCCCAAGCTAAGCAGAGCTTGTGTTATCTTTTCGTAGTTTTAAAAAAAGTTGTGTTGTCTGTTCATTTATATCTTTTAAATTATGTAACAGATTTTAATGCAGTTTTCAGCAATAGATAGAGTGATTCATGAAGAAGGTTTATATGTATAATACATGCGTGTTATAGTATAGAACAAGAGAAGAAATTCTATTTGTAATGCATCCGAGCGAAGCCGAGTGAATTCGCTAATTATATACATATACCAGCAGACTCGGCTAGCGTTGCTGTGGCTAAGTTTCTTGATAAAATAATATTGCAACTATATATTGAGATGTAAACTATCCTATCTATCAAGTTGAATCAAAGTGCATACAATGTACAAAACAAATTTGCAATCAATCGCAGACAAACAATGTGACAAGTAATTTTTTTTTATAAAGATTTAACAGACAAAAGGCTGTTAAAATGTTTATAATAATAAAAATAAAACAATAAATTTGTTTAATAATGAAATAATAAAATGTAATACTAATTATAGTGAAAAATTCATTTAAAACACATATCTTATAAAAAGATATGACCCATTTTCGAGCATCCCTTATTTTTATCAGTTTTAATCCTACACAGTCCAGTCTACCTATAAACTATTTGATTATAATTAGGTAACTCATTTGTTATATTTAATGGTTACTTTAATTAGGGATTGATTGATTTATTACTCGATCGTCATCACTTGCACTTGAATATATTTTGTATGGAACATATCTGTTTTAATGACTTTTATTCTACAAGTTTTTTTTATACTAGTCAATCTTTGTTTTTTTCAAAAGAGGTGTTATTTTGCTGAAATAACTTCAGCAATATTTTTTTTTTATCCTACTATGGTGACAATCGGAGGATGGAGGATGGAAAGAATTAGCTGGAAGGATAAAGTAAGAAACGAAGAAGTACTACACAGGGTAAAAGAAAAAAGACAAATATTGAACACCATAGAAAATAGACGAGGAAAAATGTTAGGGCACTTGATACGGCACGATGATTTCATGAAAATAATTATTGAGGGGAAAATAGAAGGAAAGAGGGGGAGGGGAAGACCAAGGAATAGCTACTTCAAACAAATTGAGGACAAAATGGGAGTCGTGTCGTATCAAGAATTAAAGAGCACTATGGAAGATCGCGGAAAGTGGCAAGAGCTCCACCGACAAGAGCGTAGCTCTTAAATTATGAATGAATGAATGGTGGCAATCAAGCATACGGCCCATCTGATGGTAAATGGTTACCGTAGCCTATGAACGCCTGAAACACCTCTTTTGAAAAAAATTACGGTTTAAATTCCTCTACCATTAGCATGTGTAAGATCACATGCAGTGCGGAAACCTGACCACCGACGTTGGTAGCGTTATGATCTTCTCCACTAGTGATCAAGCTGCTACTGTTTTTGGATATATACCCATATTGCGAGCGACACGTATTTCGTCTCCAAAGACATCACCGTGCAATCTCCTTATTGAATTTAAATCAAATGAATGAATTTATATTTTTATAATCATGTACAAGCTCATTTAAAAAGAATAAGAGCTGAGTTTCTTGTCAGTTTTTCTTATCAAAATGCACTCCGAACTGACGGTAGATTTGACATATCATAAGTGTGTAATAGATCTATAAGAATATTTATTCTGATTTGATTTGATTTATATATTAATACCCGGCATATGAGGGTCCAGGATAGTCTACTTAATTCTGGTGACGAGACAATATTTATGAGACCATTGGTTAATATACCCAATGTAAATATTAAGATTGTGAGGCGGTCTGGGAGTGGAGTCAGATGAACTTCTTCTTGGTGGCCCTCCTGGTCGTGGGGGGCACTAGAGGCTGGTCAGTCTGTTCTGAGCGAGGGTTCTTGGTGCAGCGCGCAGTGAGGCTGGTAGCGAGCTGCAGCAAGGAGCCTCTCCTGGCCAGCGCTACCACCAGCGCCACCAGCAGTGGGACCGCCACCACCCAGCTCTGCCGCACCTCCTGGGATGTTGCCTTCACCTACGTGCATAAAATGCGCGTCACTTTGTAAGACTGTTGCTTCACTATTTACTAAAATGTAAATTTACACACAATATAACATTTGCGAAATTGGTAGAAAAGAGTAATTACTACGCAATGTATGATGCTGACGGTGATCGAGGTCGTCGCAACGGCCAGTCGGCGATCAACTCTTCAATGCAATCATCTTCAAGGACGCGCGTCGTCACTTTCTCTTATTCGATTAATTTATAAATTCGCAATACATTATATTTAAACCTACAGTCCGCTTTTATTGAAGATCCCTTAGGGCCTTGACAGAGTCTGGTTGGAAACCAGCGCTGCACAGAAGCATCCTGTCGGCATAAGTTAAATCAGGTCCTGCTGTATCTTTTAAAAGTTTTTTTTCATGTAATTTGATTGGTAACAATAAAAAAAAATGTCTATACGTAACGTCATCGTACGGATCTAAAATAATAATAATAATCTACAATAAATTACACAATGGCATCTAAGTCCATGCTAAGTAGAGTTTGTGTTATAGGTGCTACATAAAAATATATAAATATTCACCCTTCTAGCTACAGCTAGTGTAGCTAGAAGGGTGAAAATTTAGGATTGTATGTATTTTTGTATGTTGTATCATAAAAAAATAGAAACTAAAAATATTGTCTAAAAAATAAAAAATAAAATTTAAGGGTGGACTACCCCTGACATTTAGGGGGATGAAAAATAGAATTTGGCCGATTCTCAGACCTACTCAGAGCGTATTGCTCACAAAATTTCATGAAGATGAATGATGAATCGGTCAAGTCGTTTCGGATGAGTATGGGAACGAAAACTGTGACACGAGAATTTTATATATAAGATTATTTTTTGTACATTCATATATGTATAATATACATAAAAAAATATTTTGGACAATACTATCATTGCGATAATTGGAAGTAAAATGCTGTACTAAACCTCTGGATCATCGAGGTTAAAACTGTATGTTTATCTTTACTTGCTTTTAAAATTTTGTTTTCCTTTTTTTTCTGAAGACACATATAAAATATTAGTCTAGCACTATGGCGATCGACTTTTGAAAGACCATTGGTGTTTCACCCTTCTATCACCAACCCCTATTTTAACAGCGATTTTAATTTACATAATACACAAAATAACATTTGCGGAACCAAATCGTAACTAATAAAACATCAAACAACAAACCTCCGGCTGGAACTCTAAGTAGAAATGCTTGAAGCGTCCATCGGAGACGAAGTGTCGGACCTGGTCCTGGTAGGAGTGCGTGGCCTTGGAGAGCGTGGAGTGGAGATGGAGGGAGTAGGTGGCGTTGTCTGCCGGCAGGCGCGGCAGCGCCACCAGTAGTCCTCGGTTGCGGTGCGCGGCCAGCCCCGCCGCGTCCAGGCGCAGCTCGGGGCCCCCGGGGCCCGCGCCCCCCGCGCCCCCCGCGCCCCCCGCCGGGCCCGCCAGCCGCACCCGCAGGCTGCGGTAGTGCTCCACGGCCGCGTACACCACCACGCTCGCGTCCGTCACCTGCTGCCGCTGGTGAGCGATCACCACCACATCCTCGATGTCTTTCTTCCCTTTTATCTGCGACGCCACAGTTTGTTCTTATGAGATATTCATTTCGATAGCTTCGTTTGTGATCAGGATGCCATTATTGAGCATGGCCAAAACTAAGTATAAGTCTATAATATTTATTACTATATACAGGATTACTGGTAACTCGACGTCTTGCTGTCGAGACTTAATAGGGGAGCTTCAATGCTGAAAATTTAACTCACTCCCCGCTTGTATGACCGAAAATCAATAGTTTTTAAGATATTTGAATTATAAAGATTTTTTAAATACCCCGAATTTCAACATAACCAATAAAAAAAATTTATAGTCCGTTTTTTAATACTGAAGACATTACCGATGATACCAGGTTTTTCCATATATTAATACGAGTCACCAGTAACACTGTATAACAATTTCTTTGACTATTAATTGAGTAACGGCTCAAAAAGAAGTTAATAAGACATTTTCTATGACTCATCAAATATTAATTTATTAACAAATGATTACAAGAACACATACTTCTATGGTAGGTGGAGCTTTAGCCAACTTCAGTCCCGCTAATTCTGGATTTGATGATTCCTTCAGCTCAATAGTGTACATACAGCCAGGTAGCAGTCCTCGAATTCTGTAAAATAAAACAAATAAAATTTATAAGAATATATATCACAATAGAAGAAAAAAAACTGAATTAAAAATCAAACGAAACTCCAAATACGTCCCAGTGCTTCCGGTTGAATCAGGACAGGACGGTCCGAGCTAGGGGCGGCGTGGGGCCGGGCCCGCACTCACCTGAAGCCGCCGCCGCCGTCCGTGGTGGCGTCCTCGGGCTGGCAGCGCGCGGCGTGGGGCCGGGCCCGCACCGGGCCGGGCCCGCACTCACCTGAAGCCGCCGCCGCCGTCCGTGGTGGCGTCCTCGGGCTGGCAGCGCGCGGCGTGGGGCCGGGCCCGCACCGGGCCGGGCCCGCACTCACCTGAAGCCGCCGCCGCCGTCCGTGGTGGCGTCCTCGGGCTGGCAGCGCGCGGCGGGGGGCCGGGCCCGCACCGGGCCGGGCCCGCACTCACCTGAAGCCGCCGCCGCCGTCCGTGGTGGCGTCCTCGGGCTGGCAGCGCGCGGCGTGGGGCCGGGCCCGCACCGGGCCGGGCCCGCACTCACCTGAAGCCGCCGCCGCCGTCCGTGGTGGCGTCCTCGGGCTGGCAGCGCGCGGCGTGGGGCCGGGCCCGCACCGGGCCGGGCCCGCACTCACCTGAAGCCGCCGCCGCCGTCCGTGGTGGCGTCCTCGGGCGCAGCGCGCGGCGTGGGGCCGGCCCGCACCGGGCCGGGCCCGCACTCACGACCTGAAGCCGCCGCCGCCGTCCGTGGTGGCGTCCTCGGGCTGGCAGCGCGCGGCGTGGGGCCGGGCCCGCACCGGGCCGGGCCCGCACTCACCTGAAGCCGCCGCCGCCGTCCGTGGTGGCGTCCTCGGGCTGGCAGCGCGCGGCGTGGGGCCGGGCCCGCACCGGGCCGGGCCCGCACTCACCTGAAGCCGCCGCCGCCGTCCGTGGTGGCGTCCTCGGGCTGGCAGCGCGCGGCGTGGGGCCGGGCCCGCACCGGGCCGGGCCCGCACTCACCTGAAGCCGCCGCCGCCGTCCGTGGTGGCGGCCTCGGGCTGGCAGCGCGCGGCGTGGGGCCGGGCCCGCACCGGGCCGGGCCCGCACTCCTTCAGCCGCCGCCGCCGTCCGTGGTGGCGTCCTCGGGCTGGCAGCGCGCGGCGTGGGGCCGGGCCCGCACCGGGCCGGGCCCGCACTCACCTGAAGCCGCCGCCGCCGTCCGTGGTGGCGTCCTCGGGCTGGCAGCGCGCGGCGTGGGGCCGGGCCCGCACCGGGCCGGGCCCGCTGAACTGGCAGCGCGCGGCGTGGGGCCGGGCCCGCACCGGGCCGGGCCCGCACTCACCTGAAGCCGCCGCCGCCGTCCGTGGTGGCGTCCTCGGGCTGGCAGCGCGCGGCGTGGGGCCGGGCCCGCACCGGGCCGGGCCCGCACTCACCTGAAGCCGCCGCCGCCGTCCGTGGTGGCGTCCTCGGGCTGGCAGCGCGCGGCCCGGGGCCGGGCCCGACCGGGCCGGGCCCGCAATGACAGCCGCCGCCGCCGTCCGTGGTGGCGTCCTCGGTATGGCAGCGCGCATTGGGGCCGGGCCCGCAATATAATATTAAAAAAATACAAGCCGCCGCCGCCGTCCGTGGTGGCGTCCTCATTGTCTGGCAGCGCGCGGCGTAGATCGCACCGGGCCGGGCCCGCATCAGCTAAGCCGCCGCCGCCGTCCGTGGTGGCGTCCTCGGGCTGGCAGCGCGCGGCGTGGGGCCGTCGGCCCGCACCGCAACCTGAAGCCGCCGCCGCCGTCCGTGGTGGCGTCCTCGGGCTGGCAGCGCGCGGCGTGGGGCCGGGCCCGCACTCACCTGAAGCCGCCGCCGCCGTCCGTGGTGGCGTCCTCGGGCTGGCAGCGCGCGGCGTGGGGCCGGGCCCGCAGCACGGCCCCGGGCCAGGCCGCGCCGGCCGCGGACACCAGGCGGCCCGCACACGACCACGCCACTCGGCTCGCCCTGCAACATATCCACGATCAACATCTCTACTCAAAGCTTATTCCTATTCACGGCTATATCCTGGACTCAATTTAAAATGCGTACTTGAGAGTGAGACGGTGGTCTTGTCCGTCTTCGACGACGACTATTTGGTGCGGCGGTGAGAACCGGTACTCCTTCATGTGCGGCTTGACGTAGTACTGCGCGGGTTGCAGGGCCGGGAACCGCAGTCGACCGTCAGCGCCTGATTGCGTATTGCGACGGTAGTTGCCGCCGCTCACCGATACCAATGCACCCTGCATCATTATTAACATTAATAGCATATGAAATTACAGGATATGGAAGCATGATCTTAATCCTCGGAAGACCTAGAATGACAACACAGGTCATTACTTTAGTATATAATAGCCATTAGCAATAAGAATATAATATTAAAAAAATACAATGTACAGACCTGGAGTGGTGTATCATTGTCTTCATCACGTAGATCGATGATGATATCAGCTAACTTGTGCGCGGTGATGACGCTGTTGTCGTCCGGGCCCGTCGGTGCACTGAACACGTACGACTCCTTCTCCGCCACAATGGTGTACTTCTTGGACGCATCTAGGGGTCCGAACTTGTATGTACCATCTTCTGTAGTAATTTGCACTAGTTTCAGGTCATCTGCAAGCAAAACAAATAATAGTGATTATTTTTTTGAACTAGTATTGTAATGGACATAAATATATTGGAAGATCCTAGATCTAGAAGATCCTCTAGGAAGAGACTAAAATTAGTAATTTTTATAACTCAGTTACTTACTTTACTAATATGGTCCTTTGAGCAGGATACTGTGCAATTTGAAGTGTAGAACGTGCAGTATTTTCTTATCGGACCAACTCAGGGTGACAGAAAGGTGTAGGTTAGCGTGACGACAGTTCGCAAAACTGAGTGCTACAATTCGCCATTGTAGCACATAGTTGCGGCGAGCGTGATGGCAGTGCCGGCGCAGAGGTCCCTGCGGCGAGCGTGACGGCGCGATGTGAGGCGGCGCGGCGCGGGACGTACCTGCGGCGAGCGTGACGGCGGCGCCGGCGACGGGCGGCCGCAGCGTGCCGGCGAGCGTGACGGCGCGGTGTGAGGCGGCGCGGCGCGGGACGTACCTGCGGCGAGCGTGACGGCGGCGCCGGCGACGGGCGGCCGCAGCGTGCCGGCGAGCGTGACGGCGCGGTGTGAGGCGGCGCGGCGCGGGACGTACCTGCGGCGAGCGTGACGGCGGCGCCGGCGACGGGCGGCCGCAGCGTGCCGGCGAGCGTGACGGCGCGGTGTGAGGCGGCGCGGCGCGGGACGTACCTGCGGCGAGCGTGACGGCGGCGCCGGCGACGGGCGGCCGCAGCGTGCCGGCGAGCGTGACGGCGCGGTGTGAGGCGGCGCGGCGCGGGACGTACCTGCGGCGAGCGTGACGGCGGCGCCGGCGACGGGCGGCCGCAGCGTGCCGGCGAGCGTGACGGCGCGGTGTGAGGCGGCGCGGCGCGGGACGTACCTGCGGCGAGCGTGACGGCGGCGCCGGCGACGGGCGGCCGCAGCGTGCCGGCGAGCGTGACGGCGCGGTGTGAGGCGGCGCGGCGCGGGACGTACCTGCGGCGAGCGTGACGGCGGCGCCGGCGACGGGCGGCCGCAGCGTGCCGGCGAGCGTGACGGCGCGGTGTGAGGCGGCGCGGCGCGGGACGTACCTGCGGCGAGCGTGACGGCGGCGCCGGCGACGGGCGGCCGCAGCGTGCCGGCGAGCGTGACGGCGCGGTGTGAGGCGGCGCGGCGCGGGACGTACCTGCGGCGAGCGTGACGGCGGCGCCGGCGACGGGCGGCCGCAGCGTGCCGGCGAGCGTGACGGCGCGGTGTGAGGCGGCGCGGCGCGGGACGTACCTGCGGCGAGCGTGACGGCGGCGCCGGCGACGGGCGGCCGCAGCGTGCCGGCGAGCGTGACGGCGCGGTGTGAGGCGGCGCGGCGCGGGACGTACCTGCGGCGAGCGTGACGGCGGCGCCGGCGACGGGCGGCCGCAGCGTGCCGGCGAGCGTGACGGCGCGGTGTGAGGCGGCGCGGCGCGGGACGTACCTGCGGCGAGCGTGACGGCGGCGCCGGCGACGGGCGGCCGCAGCGTGCCGGCGAGCGTGACGGCGCGGTGTGAGGCGGCGCGGCGCGGGACGTACCTGCGGCGAGCGTGACGGCGGCGCCGGCGACGGGCGGCCGCAGCGTGCCGGCGAGCGTGACGGCGCGGTGTGAGGCGGCGCGGCGCGGGACGTACCTGCGCCGAGCGTGACGGCGGCGCCGGCGACGGGCGGCCGCAGCGTGCCGGCGAGCGTGACGGCGCGGTGTGCTCGCAGCGTGAGTGCTGCGGGCTGGCAGTCGCCGCGCCCGGTGACCTGCTGCGGGCCGCTCGCCTCCGCCACCAGCGAGCTCGACTTCGCCCACACCGAGCACGTCTCGCCCTGGACGCGTAACCGACATACTCGTGTATTTGTAGACAGAACTAAGTTGTTGGGGAGCTTGATACGGAACTAAATTATCTTTTATATAATATAAAGTAATTACTTCTGTGTCAATAAATACATATATAATTAGTCATCATAATAAATAAATAACGCCACAGGAAGCAGATCTTGTGTTACGAGTACTAAACAACTAATATAAATAAGTAATTTTTCATTATACTTATTTTTATAAATACATACATAATATAAATAGAAAACACCCAGACCTATATAAACAAGTATACTCATGAATACAAATGTTACATCGTCATCGCGGAATCGAACCCATGATCATCAAAAGCAAAGTAGTGTGCCACCAGCAAGCTAAAATAAAAGAGGAGATAACAGTATAATAAGTGAAGACAGACTGACCTCCTGCAGGTATAGCGTGTGCTCGTAGATGTACCCTCCGGACGCGTGCGGACGCGGCTGTAAGGGCGCGGACGGCAGCGCGCGGCCGCCGCACGTGACCTCCAGTGTGACGTCAGCGGCCGCCACCGGCGCCACCACGCGCACCGTCGCCGCGTGCGCCGACGCCACAAACCGCACCTCCTGCACCACCGGGACACGTGTTATATAAGACATTGTAATTCTAAATTTTTTTTCGTGCTTCATCTCAGGATTGCATGAGAACCGGAGCTCTCAAAAATGTTTACCCAAAAAATCCGAAAATAAAAATATTCAAGCTTCAAGAGCTTTATATTTTTATTTTCTGTACTTTTCGCTAAAATGGAGAGCCTGTTGAAAATCACCCATACATTTGGAAAAAAATTCTGTTCCCTTAATTTTTGCGACAAGTGTAGATGACGTTACTTAAAACCTAAAACGCGCTAAGGTTTCGTTTTGGCCAAAGTTTATAAGGTTTGCGTGCACCGATGGCAGCCGCGCGGCCGCAGCGTGTAGCGGCCGGCGGCCGGCACAGTGTACGTACCTCGGGCCGGCGGGCGCCCCCCGCGCCCCCCGCGGCCCCCGTGCGCGCGGGCGGCGTGTACCGGTGGCAGCCGCGCGGCCGCAGCGTGTAGCGGCCGGCGGCCGGCACAGTGTACGTACCTCGGGCCGGCGGGCGCCCCCCGCGCCCCCCGCGGCCCCCGTGCGCGCGGGCGGCGTGTACCGGTGGCAGCCGCGCGGCCGCAGCGTGTAGCGGCCGGCGGCCGGCACAGTGTACGTACCTCGGGCCGGCGGGCGCCCCCCGCGCCCCCCGCGGCCCCCGTGCGCGCGGGCGGCGTGTACCGGTGGCAGCCGCGCGGCCGCAGCGTGTAGCGGCCGGCGGCCGGCACAGTGTACGTACCTCGGGCCGGCGGGCGCCCCCGCGCCCCCCGCGGCCCCCGTGCGCGCGGGCGGCGTGTACCGGTGGCAGCCGCGCGGCCGCAGCGTGTAGCGGCCGGCGGCCGGCACAGTGTACGTACCTCGGGCCGGCGGGCGCCCCCCGCGCCCCCCGCGGCCCCCGTGCGCGCGGGCGGCGTGTACCGGTGGCAGCCGCGCGGCCGCAGCGTGTAGCGGCCGGCGGCCGGCACAGTGTACGTACCTCGGGCCGGCGGGCGCCCCCGCGCCCCCGCGGCCCCCGTGCGCGCGGGCGGCGTGTACCGGTGGCAGCCGCGCGGCCGCAGCGTGTAGCGGCCGGCGGCCGGCACAGTGTACGTACCTCGGGCCGGCGGGCGCCCCCCGCGCCCCCCGCGGCCCCCGTGCGCGCGGGCGGCGTGTACCGGTGGCAGCCGCGCGGCCGCAGCGTGTAGCGCCCGGCGGCCGGCACGCAGTGCGTCGTCGGTCCGCGTGCTGCAGTGAACACGCCCTGCACGCCATTCTCGCCCGAGTACTCCACCTACGATAAACGATACATCTGTTTAGTTAACTATCATACTACAAATGTACGGTAAGGCGCTTATGGTATCGTAGAGACGACACCAGAAGATAAGGATGCCGAAGAATATATTGAAAAGATGACATCAACCTGACTATGGGACCACCCTGGATAGAATTAGATATATAGAGATAAAGACTCAATAGATTTGTAGAGGACAGAATGACGTTCCTGGATGAGATACTGCTAAACACGTTACCTCAACAACAAGCAGATATCCTAAGAATGAGAATGACGTATCTCGATGGGAGACTTTGCTAAACACGTTACCTCAATCAAAAAACATTTATAATAAGAGAGACAATTACCTCTATGGGATGGTCTGCGTGCAGCCTGAGCACGTACCCGACGTGCTCGAAGTCAGGCGCGGGCGCGTGCTCGTGCGCGACCACCACCAGGTGTCGCTCCTCGCGCCAGCACAGACTCTCCGCGCTCACCGACACCTCCACGCTGCCCGGGAGCACCTCGGAGAACTCGTAAGACCCACCTGAAGGACCACAATTGGAATAGTCAACACATAATAATAGGTACATAAAGAAGTAGGTGGTGTAACAATATACAGGCTGTTCCACAACTCCTCTTTGAATTCTGGCGTAAATAAACAGGATAGGACATCGATTTGGTCATTTATGAAGATGACAAAAATTAACGGGCCTAGATGACTACCCAGCGGCACACCAGAGGACAGTGTGACGGGAGCAAAAGTATGACCCTTAGTTGCAACCAGCTGACTCCTAGAAAATAGCTTTTCAGCAGCAAGATGATTTTTTTTTATCCTGCAATCGGCTTACCAAGCCTTTAACAGATTGGTTGTGGGACTGTTGACGGGAGAGAACTATACCTCCAGTGAGGAAACTGTCTCATCGGTGAATAAGATCCCATGCATGGAGTCTCTTAAGCCTTCTGCATTGCAATGGATCTCGTAGTGCTGTTGCAAAGATATTGGTATGTGTTGCAGGTGAATAATAAGATGTTGTTGGTCGAGACGATGTATATTACAGATGATAATAGACTGACAATATGTACATAGAAATATTTATCCTATATACTAAATAACAATAGGAAAATGTAAGGTGGGGTGACACAGTTTAGATACAGCAGTGCCTAGTAGACAATATTAAATTTGTCTTACTAGACATTATTAAATGCAATTATTATTTTATGTATCTAGGTGACTGTGTCCCATAGTATGCGCCCCTATACGATCTCTGTATACTCTTGTTCTGTGCTCTATTTCTTCTCTGATTGTTCTCATTCCTGTGTACTCATGCCATTCTGTTGTTCTAATGAATAGACGTACAGCAGTTATGGTTTTGAGTGCTTTATTCTGAAACCGTTGCAAAATCTCTATGTTGGAATTCTTTGCTGATCCCCATAACTCGATGCCGTATGTCCAGATTTGCTTTATTATGGTTTTATAAATGAGTATAGCAAGATGATGTAGATATTCTTTCAAACCAATCAGTTTTATACTATGGCGTGAGTGATAGGGTATGACGTCTGTGAATGACAAGACTATTATTATTATTATTATGACTAGCTGACCCGGAAAGCGTTGCTTTGCCATATAAATTAATATCGATAATAAAAAATAGCACCAACACCTATTTTTTGAAGGGTAAAATTTTAAGAGTTATATGTATTTTTTAATTACACAAAAGAAAAAAAAATTCGAAAAAAATATATTTTTTTTTTAAATTAACGGGCCTAGATGACTACCCTGCGGCACACCAGAGGACAGTGTGACGGGAGTGTGAGTATGACCGTTAATTGCAACTAGCTGACTCCTAAATAGCAGCTTTTCAGCAGCAAGATGATGTAGACATTCTTTCAATCCAATCTGTTTTATACTATGGCGTGAGTGATAGGGTATGACGTCTGTGAATGACAAGACTATTATTATTATTATTATGACTAGCTGACCCGGAAAGCGTTGCTTTGCCATATAAATTAATATCGATAATAAAAAATAGGGGTTGGTGATAGAAGGGTAAAGTTTTAGAGTTATGTATTTTTTAATTACATATAAGAAAAAAAATGTCGAAAAAAAGAAAAAAAATGTTTGGTGTGAGCTACCCTTAACACTTACCCTTTACACTTATAAAAATTAGTTATAAACCTATTCTCAGACCTACTAAATAGACATTACTAAATAGACATTTCATCAAAATCGGTTGCCGTTTCGGAGGGGTAAAAACACGAAAATTTTATATATTAGATACTTTTGTACAGTTATGTGATGTGACTGACTGACCTTTAGCAACAGTGGTGAGCGGCTTCCCCACGTAGCTACCGTCCACAGACAGAGCCCTTAATGTAACTTGTAATGATTCGCAGTCTGCAGCCACTTTGCACACAACCTTCCCAGTGAGCCGTCCCTTGAGCTGAGAGAATATGATCCCATCTACTGGCCCATTGCCTACTGACACTATCTGAGTTAGTGGGTAGAATCTGGAACAAACATTTGTAACTTACAATGGTCTATTTATATTTTACTAGCTTTTGCTCGCGGCTTCGCTCACGTTAATTTATCCCTTTAGAGGTGGACTTTATCAAAATCCTTTCTTAGGGGATGGCTACGTCATAGTAGCTTTATGCAAGCAAAGTCTCAGCCCGATCGGTTTAAAATTGACGAAGTTACATATAAACTTTCATCCCCTTGGGGATATAATTAATCAAAATCCTTTCTTAGCGGATGCGCTATGTAGGTGTGCTATGCACACACACATACATATTGTTAATACAGAGATTGAATTACATCGCGTGGCACAGCGCACCTACTACACGTCCCTCCCCAGTCAGATATACGATGTAGTCCCGTATCGCCGCATTACAATCGTGATAAAATATAAATGTATTTTCATTTGGTAAAGCTCATGACACCACACCAGAACACGCGATATATATGGATAGGAGAACCTTCCATTCATAGTACATAAGTGATATCACAGACCTGTGAAAGTGGTGACCCGCGAATTTAGTGGTGTGAACTTTATGATATATTATATACTACTATATATTACTTCATACTAGCATAATGAATCCACAAACGTCACAATCAGCTATACAAGCAGTGCAAGAACAAACTTCCGAGCTAGCGCAGATTAGCTTATCTTCAAGAATAGCCGAATTCTGGCAAGAACAACCCAGGCTATGGTTTGTACAGCTGGAAGCCGCACTTGCCAACCAGAAGCTCGGAGATGAGTCTAAATACCAGCTCGTCACGTCGAAATTAAACAGAGAAGTAATCGGACAGGTACGTGACATATTGTTAAATCCTCCCGACACAAAAAAATACGAAATACTTAAGCAAAGACTAATAAACATTTATGAAGAGTCTGAAAACAGACAAATTCAGAAATTACTCAATGAAGTAGAATTGGGGGACCAAAAACCGTCGCAATTATACCGTCGGATGAAAAACCTAGCTAGCGATAGATTTCCTTCAGAGACATTGAGAATATTGTGGACAGGACATCTGCCAGCTCACGTGCGTGCAGTTTTAACTGTGAGTGAAGTAACGGATATGGAGAAGCTAGCAGTCATAGCAGACAAGGTCATGGAGGCCGGACACATAGGGCAAGTAGCTGAAATATCACATACTGCCCAGACCACTACTACAGATATGCTAGTAGAACAAATAGCGAAACTGACACTACAGGTCAATAGGCTGGCATCAAGCCCAAGTTTCCAGCCGCATAGGTCTTCCAGGAGCCGCGATCGTTCAAGGTCACACTCACGGGGAAGATCTCTGCGACGTGATAAAAACAGTCCTGACTGGCTATGTTTTTATCATTTTCGTTACAAAGAAGATGCAACGAAGTGTATAAAACCATGTAACTGGAAGGATAAAACTAATCAGGAAAACTAAATACCGTGCAGGCTGCGGCGGGCGACTGTACGGCAAATTTCAGTAATAACCGCCTTTGTGTAACTGACAGACACAGTGGACTAAAATTTTTAGTGGACACAGGAGCTAATATATCAGTGTTACCAATAAGTAAACAATATTCGAAGTGCTCAAATAATGGTGAGAAATATAAGTTATATGCAGCTAACGGTTCAGTAATAAAGACATATGGTATGCATACTCTAATATTAAATCTAAATCTAAGAAGACCATATAGATGGACATTTGTAATTGCCGACGTTAAGCAGCCCATTTTAGGTGCTGATTTTCTTTCTTATCATAAGTTAGTGGTAGATTTAAGTACCAAAAGATTGATAGATAGTGTAACAAATTTAAATATTATTGGTAGTATAACTAATTGTCGTGAGCCATCGGTTAAAACTATTGACGAGAATCATGTATATAGCGACATATTACGTAATTATCCTAACATAACTAAACCCGCAAATTTTAATGAAATTAACCCTAAGAGTATTGTATTTCACCACATAGAGACCTCTGGAACTCCAGTATTCGCGCGTGCCAGACCTTTGCCGCCGGATAGATACGCGAAGGTAAGAGATGAATTTAGGATTATGCAGGAAATGGGAATCTGCAGGCCATCGAAGAGCGAGTGGGCAAGTCCACTACACGTCGTGGCAAAGAAAAACGGCAGCTTGAGACCCTGTGGTGACTACAGAGGCCTTAACGCTATTACAAAGCCGGACCGTTACCCGTTGCCCCGGCTGCAGGACTTCACATATCTGCTGGCAGGTAAGAAGTGGTACAGTCATTTGGATATTTCTAGAGCCTACCACAATATACCTGTAGCTCAGGAAGATATCGAAAAAACCGCCATCATAACACCTTTTGGACTTTTCGAGTTCCCACGCATGAGTTTTGGTCTAAGAAATGCCGCGCAGACATTTCAAAGATATATGAATACAGTGGTTCTCAAAGATTTAGATTTTTTATTTTGCTATATTGATGACGTCATCATCGCAAGCGAAAACGAAACACAACATCGCAAGCATTTAAAATTAGTTTTTCAACGTTTTAACGAGTACGGAATTACTATTAATCTTTCGAAATGCGAGTTTGGTAAACAAGTAGTAGAATTTTTAGGGTACAAGGTTTCGAGTGAAGGTATCAGACCTCTTGAAGATAAGGTCAATGCCATCACCGAATTTCCTAAACCGGAAACAGTAGATCAACTTAGGAGATTTTTAGGTATGGTCAATTTTTATAGAAGTCATTTACCACACGCGGTAGAATATCAGTCCGAATTAAATAATTATTTAAGCACAGCTAAACGTAAAGATAAGACAAAAATTAACTGGACTAATAAAGCAGAACAAGCATTCGATACGTGTAAGCAAAGTTTGAAAACCGCTGCCTTGTTATCGCATCCACTACCAGACGTCCCGTTATCGCTTATGACGGACGCCTCTAGTACATGCGTAGGCGCTGTATTACAACAGAGAGTGAATAATAATTGGAAACCTTTAGGATACTTTTCAAAAAAATTAATGCCATCGCAACAAAAGTATAGCACTTACGACCGCGAGTTACTTGCTATTTATATGGCCGTAAAACATTTTAGGAATATGCATGAAGGTCGTAAATTAATTATATATACAGACCATAAACCGTTAACTTTTGCTATTGATAAATTAGGGAATAATAACGAAACACCTAGAAGAACAAGACAACTAATTTTCATTAGTGAGTTTACTAATGATATTAGGCATATAACAGGAAACGATAATATAGTCGCCGATTCATTGTCACGTATAGAAACAATAAACTGTCCAACAATTATCAACTATGCCGATCTAGCGAATTCGCAGAAAACCGACGACATGTTATTGCAGTTGTTACACGATACCAACACGAGTATAAATTACAAAACTGTTTACATACCTAACTGTGACTTACCTATTTATTGTAATGTTATTAATAACGAATGTAGACCTTATTTACCAGAAAAATTTAGGAGATTAGCTTTCGATTCTATTCATGACATTAGCCACCCAGGTATTCGTACGTCACGAAAAATGGTGACTAAGAGATATTTCTGGCCTAGTATGAATCGCGACATTAACTTGTGGGCTAAGACCTGCATACATTGTCAAAAATCGAAGATAGGTCGTCATACTATAGCAGGATTAGGTAATTTTGATACCTGTAATCGATTTGAACATATTCATGTAGACCTTATAGGTCCTTTGCCGATAACCGACGAACGAACGAACGAAGGTTATAGATATTGTTTAACAATGATAGATCGATTTACTAAATGGCCGGAAGCCATACCAATTAAAGATATGACCGCTGAAACGGTCGCTAAAAACGTTTATGACCACTGGATCGCTCGTTTCGGTTGTCCAATTAAGCTTACCAGTGACCAGGGTCGTCAGTTCGAAAGTACATTATTTACAGAGCTTATGAAATTGTTAGGTATCAAAAGGCAACGTACTACTCCTTATCATCCACAGAGCAATGGGATGGTAGAGAGATGGCATAGGTCGCTAAAAACTTCTCTTACAGCACGCCTTAGTTCTAAAGGGCATAGCTGGGTTGACGAGTTATCCACAGTAATGTTAGGTTTACGTAACGTATGCAAAAGCGATAGTTCTGTAACACCAGCAAATCTTGTGTATGGATCATCACTTAGGTTGCCTGGAGATTTTTGGGACAGACCTACGCATACACGATAAAAATGAAGGTACGTATTTAGATAAGTTAAGGAATATTATTAATAGTTGTAAGCCGAAAACGCGTGTCTTACGCGATTCTCGTACAATATTTGTACACGATGACTTACAAAAATGTAATTATGTTTTTGTTAGGAATGACGCAGTTCGCAAACCTTTGCAACCACCATACGAAGGTCCTTACCGTGTCATTCAAAGGAATAATAAAGTGTTTATATTAGATATGCCTAACAGAAATAATGTTTCGATTTCTATAGATCGTCTTAAACCAGCGTATATATTAAATGAAACTGATACAATTTCAGATAATATTACGCAAGACATATTATCGAAAACTACTCCCGCTCCTTGCAATGTTAGTCACAACGTGTCACAACCAAGTACCAACTCCGCGAAAAGGACACGGAGTGGTAGACTAGTTAAAAAACCAGTACGGTTCGATGATCAATGACAATACTATACTTACTATTTTTATGTTATATTGTAATTTTTTATTTTTAGTGGACTAAGCATGTTTTTATTATTTTCTTTTACCTATTCTTAATACTATATAACAATGTTAATGTGACAAATCGCTATCGCTAAGTATAACTAATAAACTCATACCTTACTTACAATATTGTATGCTCGATAAAATTGTATTTTCGCTAAACAAGCAAATGTATTGTTATAATTCTAGAGCAAAACTATTATTCTCATACGATGTTACTCAATTATATTTTTTTTATATGTCATTAGCAATAATTTTCTATTACTATATTTTTGAACAAATTTACACTTAAATTCTAATTCATTATATTTGATTGTACATGTTATTCAAACAGCAGATTTAGCAAATATTAATTATATAAAAGTTGAACAGAATATTTAATAATTCACAATACTTAGTTATATTTTCGAGTACACAAATTCATTACGCATATTTATATTCTATGTAAATGGGAAAGTACCATAGTAAAGAAACTAAGAATTTGACAGCCAGGTAGAGATGTTACAATCGCAGAATCAATCATACACGAGGACAACAATAGAACGCTTTTTATCTGCTGCATAGTAATTGGAATTTTGGGAGTCATAATTCTATATATACTGTTGAACCGCTGTCGTGGTCACTTCAAGTCCTACATACAAAAAGAAATAGCAGCCGCGGATTTAAAATCAAACAGAGTACAGAATGCTACTGTGTAATTAGAGTTCATAATGTATCCGGTCAACATTCGTAAAAAATCCTTATCGAAGACTATGTGTAATAAGAATCCAGTGTCGAATTCCGGTGTCAGCATACAATGAATATTGTTTAAATGTTTGTTAGTAAGAATAAGTTGTACCGATTTGAAATAAGATTTGTAATGTGTTTATTTCACAGATTTATTTTATTTTTTTTGAAAATTTAGTTTGTAAAATTTTGAGGGCGGAGTATTGTAGGTGTGCTATGCACACACACATACATATTGTTAATACAGAGATTGAATTACATCGCGTGGCACAGCGCACCTACTACACGTCCCTCCCCAGTCAGATATACGATGTAGTCCCGTATCGCCGCATTACAATCGTGATAAAATATAAATGTATTTTCATTTGGTAAAGTTCATGACACCATACCAGAACACGCGATATATATGGATAGGAGAACCTTCCATTCATAGTACATAAGTGATATCACAGATGAAACCTACGTCATAACATCTACCTGCATGCCGAATTTCAGCCCGATCCGTTCAGTGGTTTGGGCTGTGCGTTGATAGATCACTATGTCAGTCACCTTTGAGTTATATATATTTAGATTAGTCACCCGACTTCGCACATATGTACATGTATTATACATATAAACCTTCCTCTTGAATCACTCTATCTATTGCTAAAACTGCATTAAAATTCGTTGCCTAGATTAAAAGATTTCAAGCCGTCTCTGAGGTATTTTGTTACAAACACTGCAACACAATAATTTTATATATTAGATTGATGTGGACCTTACATCAGATAGTATGGTATGATAATGAGTATGATTGTTTGTATCGGTCTGGCTGTTTTCTATATATATTATAGCTGTCCGGGCAAACGTCGTTTTGCCATATAAATTAATAATGCTATATAAAAATAGGGGTTGATGATAGAAGGGTGAAAATTTAGGATTGTATGTATTTTTGTATGTTGTATCATAAAATAATAGAAACTAAAAATTTTGTCTAAAAAATAAAAATAAAAAATTTAGTTAGGGGTGAACTATTAACATTCAGGGGGATGAAAAATAGATGTTGGCCGATTCTTTAGTCAATACGCTCACAAAATTTGAGAATCGGTCAAGCCGTTTTATGGGCACGAAAACTGTGACACGAGAATTTTATATATAAGGTTAAGTATTAGCTGTACTCGCGACTTCGTCCGCGTGGAAATTAACTTTATTTTTCTAAATTTGAAAGAATTTTCTAAAATAAAAGTAGCTTAAGTTACTCTTCATTACGTCGCCTACCTGCCAATAAAAGTCCCGTCAAATTCGGTCCAGCCATTTCAGAGATTAGCCGGAACAAACAGACAGATACAAATCGTAAAAAATGTTAATTTGGTGTATGTACCGTATTTATATTCATATGCATGTAGTAAAAAGCGGTTATTTCAATATTATAATCTGACACTCAAATTTTATTTATATGTATAGATTTATGAGATTATTAAGTATGCTTACTGTAAACCATCCCTCTGCTCTTGTTCACTGACATCAACTTTGGCCGAGTAAGTGCCGGGCGGCAGGAAAGTGCACCATGTACCTGAAACAATAAACAGTATTTCCATATATTAATAACTAGTTGAGCTACAATAATATCTTGCTACAAAGGTTATCTTCTCTTAATGTTGGTTATTTAATATACCCTTCTTGAAAAATCCCATGATGTAGTCTCTGAAGAAAATCTAGGTAGGTAATTAATTCGCCAACCACACTTTGACATACACACGACACCGTCCTCGCTGGCGAAGACGACGATCTCAATCAAACCATATCGTGATATCATCCGGGTGCTTGCACGCGCCCAGGCGTTCCACACCGCTGGCTCCGGTCGCCCCTTCGAATGATTCCTCGTCCAATACAAACTGGGATTGAAATTACGGCCAGAGCCGAGGTTCGAACCCTTAGTGGTGTCTTTAGACTAAAGTCGTATCCGCGAGTTGTCTTTCAGCCGCTCCGTAAGTCCTTCCTTTGGTTTGGTTTCCTTCCTATCTGCACTCGCCTACTATTGTCCGGTGAAGCTGTAAAGGATAGCTGCGTCCAACAGCACTAGCATAGTCCAAGTGTAAGTTACATTAAGAGCGTTCATTTGTATTGTGCGTGAGTAGAGTGGTAGTTACCGTCCTCCCCGGGCGTGGCGGCGACCGTGGCGAGCGTGGTGGGCGTGGCGGGCGTGGTGGGCGTGAGGAGCGCGGGGCGGGCGTGTGGCGGCGGCACGCGGCCGCACACGCGCCAGCGCCGCGCCACGCCGCCCGCGGCCCGCGCCGGGCCCGTGCTCCTCACCACCACCTGCGACTCCTCGAACTCGCACTGCTCTGGAACACACCACCCATACCGGTCATTGGCCTCCCTAAAATATGGCCAGCTCGTCCGTCCTACTCGTGAACGAGTCTGCTCTTATCACTACTACTGATTTAATCTTATTGTGTATTTGTATTTGACTCTTATAAATCAGAGCCGATTGGTACTTTGTATTCACACGTTTCGAATTGTATAATGTGAACTTACAAGGATCATTTAAAAGAGCAACGTACAAGTTTCTCGCTCGTTCTTCTTGTGATGAGACAGCTTTCCTAATGAGGGATAGATTAAAAAAAACATTGTTGTAATTATTCAGAAGTGCTTAAATTAAATTTATTTGAATAAATGACTTTCTATTCTTTTCTACACGTCAATAACCGCGCCCTGAAAGGAAGGGGATTGTAAGTAATGTGGACTGATGATCTTACTGCTAATAATATGATTTTAATAATGATTTTATCAAGATGACCTAACTGACTTGAGCTCATGCTCATCTTATCATCCTCCACTGGTGCCCCACCAGCGTAAACCGTTAGCACAGACGATTGCACCATTTCATTATCATTGCCATTTCATTTTTAATTTTAATATATAACAAATTCCCGAAAGCATAAAACGAAAATAACAATATAAATTACTTAGAGTAGAATAGAATAGAAAATCATTTATTCAAATAAACTTAATTTAAGCACTTTTGAATAGTCAACTTTTTTTTTTAAATCTACCGCTTATTCAGCAAGCTGTCTCATCACAAGAAGAATAAGCAAGAAACTTGTGTGTTGCTCTTTTAAACAATCCTTGTAAGTTCACATTTACAAGTCGAAACGTGTGAATACAAACTACCAACCAGCACTAATTTATTTAGGCTCAAACATAAAAACACAATGATTAAATCAAAATTAAATCATAAATAAATTTAAAAAAATGCATCAAGGGAACAAACATCCGTCCATAGTCACATAGTTAGGTTTTATAATATTAGTAGGATATTGAACACAAACTCACCATGTTGAAAGCCCAACTTGTAAGTGGCCGGCTGCAGGTTGGTGAGGGTGAACTTGCCGGCCGCGTCTGTGGTCCCGACCGGCCGCCCGTCGACCAACACGCGGACGCCCTTCAAACCAGCGCCGCCCGCCGACGACAGCGCTGTACCCACCATCGTGAAGCCGGTCACCTAAAGTACACCAGGCACAAGTAGAATACAGAGGGCGCTGCTCTCACGTAAACAATACTGTCCTATGTTAAAATATATTAAAAATATTTTCTCCTATTAATCCATAAAAAAAAACGACTAAAAACAAAAGTTAAAAGTGTAGACTACATGTGACAGTGTTAGCAGCGATTAATAACACAAGAATTTTGCAAAATTAACGAAATTTATAAACGCCAGTGACAGCGTACGTAAACAGAAGTTTATAGTGTATATTTAGTGAAAAATCAAAACAATACCAGAACTAACTCATCGATGGTTACAGTGCATAAAAGTTGTGAAGTTATTTGTGTTGTGTTTTTCGAGATAAAGTTCTTCGATGATAAAAGTAATTCGATAAGTTATACCTTTTAAAACTACCCACATTTAAAAAAAAAAAAAGAAGACGTATTATTTTACAGCGATACCTAGATTATATAGTGCAATTAAACAATCAAATTACGTAAGTTGAATCAATTACTTACATAATCGAAACGGTGCCAACTATTAACCATAAGATGACGCTTCAATGTGCAGGATGTTTTCAAAAAATCAAAACCAAAGAATATCTTACATGTATTTTATGCAAAAAGAATTATGACCTCGAATGTTCCAATGTTTCTATTCAAAGATTCCTAAATACAATGACTAAGGAACACAAGGCATCTTGGAGTTGTCAAATATGCCGTTGTCAAAAGCCAAAAACAGACAACACAAATACTCCTATTCGATCATTGCATTCCAACGTATCCTTGAAGGAAACCTCTGAGTTTGGTGAGGATTTCGTCACAACAAGGAAGAAATGTAATCGTATAAATGTATCATCATGCTCGGATGTGGATCTTAGTATATTGGGAGATACACTGGAAGCTGAAAATATTCAAAAACAAAGTAACTTAGCATCATACCATACGAAAAATCCAGCCGAATCTACCAATCTTACAGTGAATTCGACAGACTTGAGTGTACTTCTGGATACGAAGTTAGAAAAAATAAAACAATCTTTATTGAGTGATATAAGGTCAACAATAATCTCAGTAACTACCTGTGAAATCTCAAAATTGAAATTAGAGTTAACAAAAACTACAAGTCTTTTATCAAGCGAACAGGATAGCCTCAAAAAAGATATTAATAAAATGAACAAAACGATAATTAAACTGGAAGCAGAAAATACAAAACTTTGTAAACAACTACAAGAAATACAGGAACAAATTGCAAAGTGTAATTTAAATTTCTCGCAATCTGAAAGTAATATAACCGATATAAAAAAGAAAGTAGTCCTTTATGGTCTTAGTGAACAAGAATGGGAAAACTATAATGAATTATTTGACCGAATTGTATATATATTTTACGAAATATTGAATATAAATGTAACTACCTATATTGAAGACATAAAGAGAATCGGAAGAAAAAACCATGCAAGACCAGTAGTAATCGAATTGTTAAGTAAAAATATAACCAAACATATACTTCAAAATAGACGTCTTTTCAAGCACACTGGTCTGTCTATATCTGAATTTTTAGATGACGAGATGCTACAAAATAGGAAAAAATATATAGAAATCCTTATTGATGCTCGACGTAATGGTCATCGAGCAAATATTATAAATAATAAGCTAATAATCGATGGTAGAGAATATAATACACTTAATACACTTAATACTAGTTCAATTGACCTAAAACAAAAAAATAATCAGAAATTAAACAATGAAGCAACCGCCAGACTCTCCTTATCTGCAAGTAATCCTGAAACATCTTCTATGCAAAAAACATTTCGAAAATAAATTCAATATATTATACCAAAATATAAGAAGCATAAAAAATAAAAAACATTTACTGGAAGCCGCAATCGAGGAAGATGGAAATTTACAAGCTCTCTGCCTATCAGAAACTTGGATCACGGAAAGAAAATTGGACTTACTACATATGGATGGTTTTAAGTTGGTTTCAGCATACTGTCGGAGTAACCAAGAAGGAGGAGGAGTATGTATCTTACTGAAAGAAGATATAGAGTGTAAGGAGCTTAAGGATGTTGTGGATTTGTCTATTGAGTCAATTATTGAGTTAAGTGGAATAGAGATACCTAAAATGAACTTAATATTAATTAATTTATATTGGCCAAATAAAAACAGAATGCCAGATATATTCTATAAATCACTGGAAGATCTCTTACAGTTGTTACAAATAAAATATAATAAAAGGAATGTAGTTATAGGAGGAGATTTCAATATAAATATTTTAGAATCATCTTCATCTAATTATCTATTAGATCTTATGAGGTGTTCGGACTTCCATCAATATGTGAATGAGCCTACCAGAATAACGAACAAAAGTTCTACATGTATAGACCTCATTTTTGCAAATTTCCATAAAAGTAATTTCCAGTTAAAAATTCATGAATATGGTTTCTCAGATCATAAAGGTATATTAATGACTATACCGACAGATAAAAATAAAATAAAAAAATGTTGGTACTTAGATAAAAGGATATTCAATGAAAAAAATATACAAAAATTTAAATTTGAACTAAGTAATGTTAAATGGAACAAAATAATCGATATAAATAAAAATATACATCAAAATTATAGTATATTTATAGAAACATTACAGGAAATATTAAATAAATGTATACCCAAAATTACAATAGCAACTAAAAATAAGAAAAATAAATCTTGGTTAACGAAAGGAATAAAAACATCATGTAAAAATAAACGTTTGCTAAAAAAATTTATTTGTAAAATTGATAGTCCTATTTTAAATCAAAATTACAAACAATATGAAAAAATTTTGAAAAAATCAGTTAATTTATCAAAAAAGTTTCAAAATATTCAAAGAATAAATAAATCTGAAAATAAAATTAAAACAATGTGGTCTATAGTTAAGGAAAATACAAATAAAAGTATTCGAAATATTAAAAAAAATATAAAATTAAAAATTGAAAATAATATCACAGACAATCCCACAAAAATAGCAAACTCATTTAATCAGTTTTTTGCTTCTATTGGAAATGATAATGTAAACCAAAGTCAGCCATTACAATTAAATAAATGTATGAGTAGCACCATCGAAAACTCTATGTATCTCAAACCGGTGGACTTAAAAGAAATTCAAACTATTATAAAAAAACTAAAAAATAAGCGTAGCTATGGCTACGATGAGTTTCCACCTGTCTTAATTAAAAAATGTGCTGAAGAATTGACGCCTATTTTAACCTTACTTATTAACCAGTCATTTACAGAAGGTATAGTCCCAGACCCTCTGAAAATCTCCCTAATCAAACCAATTTATAAAAAAGGCGAAAAATTAGATATAAATAATTATCGTCCCATTTCTTTGTTACCAACGTTTTCAAAAATATTTGAAACTGCAATGTGTGACCGTCTATATTCATTTTGCGAAAAATACAATATCTTCAGCGAGCATCAGTATGGTTTTAGGAAAAATCGGTCAACTTCATTAGCAGTCTTCAAGTATATTAACGAAATAATTAATATCATAAACAACAAAGAATATGCCGTAGGCATTTTGCTCGATATGAGTAAGGCTTATGACTGCGTCCAATACAAAACGTTATTGAAAAAATTATACAACATAGGAGTAAGAGGTCCCGCTTATAAATGGTTTACCTCTTATCTCACAAATCGATCCCAATATGTACAAATAGACCATGTAAATAATCAAACTGGAAAAATAAAAACAGTAAGATCTCAACATTCAAAATTAATAAATTCAATACCTCAAGGAAGCGTCCTCGGATGTATATTGTTTTTAATATTCATAAATGATTTGCCTGAAGTGATAGACAGCCCCTGCACATTGTTTGCAGATGACGTTTCTGTTGTTGTTTCCTGTAAAAATAACCTAAACCTACAAAGTACACTGGATGGTAGTATGTTAAAAATATTGAGCTGGTTATACTCACACAACTTAAAAGTAAATTTTAATAAAACTAAATTGATGGTTTTCCGTCCATTCCAAAAGAACCCGCTGCAAATTAACTACTCTTTCAATAATATTAAAATAGATTGCGTAGAGAAATATTCACTATTAGGTGTAAATGTAGATTCGAATATTAATTGGAAAGCGCATGTGCAGAGTGTGGCTACCAAGCTGTCTAGATTTACTTATGCACTACACCAACTAAAGATATCTTCTGATACCAAGACAGCCATGTGCGCCTATTATGCATATGCCCACTCTTTGCTCCAGTACGGCATATTGATGTGGGGTAATAGTACAAACGTGATTGATCTTTTTAAATTGCAAAAACGATGTCTCAGAATAATTGCTAACATAGATAACAGGGAAACTTGCAAACCATACTTTATTAAATATAAAATTTTAACTTTACCGTCAATGTACATATTAGAAGCGTGTCATTTTGTTAAATGTAATATGCACCTATTTCCACAATATACCCGCCCTCAGGCATTGCGACCGCAATGTAGATTAGCAAGACCATTCTCGAAGCTACAGTTATTCCATTCTGGCCCTTACGCAATGTCAATAAAAATTTACAATAAAATACCAATTAACTTAAAAGGTGAGGATGATTCTAAAAAGTTTAAAATAGCTCTAAAAAAATATTTAATCGCAAAGAGTTATTATGCGCTACAGGAATTTTTCAAGGAAAAAAGTTAGTTGTGTTTGTGCCTGTTTGTTTTAATGTAGTGATGATTTTTTATTTTTTTTTTTTATACTAATCAACGATACATATATATAATGTAAAAATTTAATTATGTAGTTTATATAAGATTTATTAATGTGATTGCTGTGCCCTTTCAGGGTTCATGTTTGATTCTATACTTTTAGTAAATTAAGACCAATTTTGTTACAACATGTAATAGCAATAAATAAATGAATAAATAAATAAAAGTAACGACTGAGATCAACATATAAAATTAAATAAAAACAAATAGAACCTGCCCTATCCCTCATACTTCGTCCGCGTGGAAATTAACTTTATTTTTCTAAAATAAAAGTAACTTTATTACATCAGCTACCTGCCAAAAAAATCCCGTCAAAATCGGTCCAGCCATTGCAGATATTAGCCGGAAAAAACAGACAGGCAGACAAACAAAAATTGTAAAAAAATATTTTGGTATATGTACTGTATTTACATTCATATGCATGTAGTAAAAAACAGTTATTTCAATATTACAAACAGACACTCCAACTTTATTTATATGTATATGTAGATGCTGTGTTTATTTCTTCATACAGCGTAAATTCTCATGCCTGTTGTAATATGCTATGTTAGTTATACCTGACCCTTTTAATCATATTTTTATTGTAATTTAAAGTTTATAGCTTAATAAATACATACAGACATATAGTCCTATATACAATTGTATATTAGTTTAGTTATAATAAAAAAACAAACCTCAAAAGCATTTTTGATGAATATACTATCATGTAGCACTGAGAATGGGACTTTATCTGGCTTCACATTGTACGTAACAGCCACTTGTCCTGGTGGTGTCTTCAGAACTAACAGTTCATAATCTCCAGCTGGAACTAGACCGAAAGTGAACTCTCCAGATGTATCAGTAATCGTATGACATATGGGAGAATCTGGAACTCCTTGCAAAAGAGCTGTGTTGCAGCCTTCCACTCGAAACTTGGGATTTGCCTGTCAATATAATGAATTATGATGAAATTAAACTGATGATTTTTTTTTATTGGGTTGTTTGGGCTATTATCAGATATTTGTAGCACCTGTAGCACTGCAACCTACATAGATCTATTGTGCTCACCCTTTTTCAAAGTTCGCTACCTAGATCCATCAGGGACAAAAATTGAAGGATATTCTTAGGAGCAATGGTTTTTATCTCCTCGGGAAAGAGTGTAAACTTTCCAAAGGAGATATTTATGCATGAGTGGGCTACAACCACATAGCATGTGAAGCGGCATTTCCTCTTCAGTTTGGCAGAATCTGCAGATTCTTGTTGTGCATAGGCCTAGTTTAGCCATATGCTTGTTTAATTTGCAGTGTCCTGTGAGAGCTCTAGTCATCAAATCTGATGATAGAAATAATGATATAGCACTGGCAGGCTATCAAAAACCATGACTAGATTAATTCTGATTATTCTTAACTCCCTGGAAATTGTAAAGTCTGTAATAGATATGTCTTGGCTTCTATGACCTATAGAAACCAAGACAGCGTAATCTTACAAAGCCTATACATATATTTGTTTTTTTTTATTCTTTATTGTACAAAAACATATGTACAAAAAGCAAGCTATATTCCTAGATATACCTTTATAATTAATGATATTCCTAAATATATAGTTATGATATAAAAATTGACTGCAATTATATATTATACAAATACAGAATGTATTATTTTATTTCAATTCATGTATGACAAAGATATTCAAGGTTCCAATGAGCCTGTATTGTTGTATACTAGCTGTACCTGTGACTTCTTCTGCATGGAATTTAATTTTATTTTTCTAAAATAAAAGTAGCTTAAGTTACTCCTTATTACATCAGCTACCTGCCAAAAAAGTCCCGTCAAAATTGGTCCTGCCATTTCAGAGATTAGCCATAACAAACAGACAGATAGACAATAAAAACATTATATAAAATGTTATTTTGGTGTATGTACCATATTTATATTCATATGGATGTATTAAAAAACAGTTACTTCAATATTACAAACAGACACTCCAATTTTATTTATATGGATTATGAATAAATATAATGTATATAATAACCTCTTTGGAGTACAACAGCACATAAAGTCCACTTATGGGAGAATCAAAGGATGTTATAGTACCCTTCACATCATAACCCTTGACAGCCAGAACACCCAAGGGTAAGGCAGTGTTGCCCTCCTTCACTTGTACAGTAGCTTGAGCAGGATCTAGCTTCCATCTGGAATGAATAATTACTATAGTATTTACATTTTTGGAGATATAGATTTATTTTTACAGATTCAGTCTGTTTTTATTACAGTATATTGTTTAGTGTTTTATTTATCAGTGGTCTAGTGGTTTAGCATACTGCTTTACTATCCAATGGTCGCCGGTTTGATTCCTCGCACGGCACATACATTCATATTCATGAGTATGATTGTTTGTATCAGTCTGGGTGTTTTCTATGTATAATATGTATGTATTTACGAAAAAAAATCTAGGTATATCAGTTGTCTAGTACCCATAACAAGCTTTAGCTTAACTTGGGTCTAGATGGTGCTGTGTGAATTGTCCTCAGATTATTATTATTTATTTCGAAAATTTACTAGAAAACTGTCAATCTATCTGGATACTTATATCTAGCTAGTCTGTAAAATATTACAATTTAGTATTTACTACTTCTATAAATGAAAGAAGTTGTAATATTTCATGCATCATAAATTAATACTGTTAATGTGTAACTATGTCACCTTGGATGAGAAGCCTTTATGGTATATCTTCCGGGAATAACAGGGGTAAAGTGGAAGTCACCACCCGCTGACGTCACAGTGGTCCTCACGTCACCTTTATCATTCACCAGGGCAACAGATACGTCACTTGGACCCTGCTTTTGGCCAGAGGTTATCACTTTACCAGCTATACCAAACCCATTGAAAGAGAAATTGATATCTTGACCAGTTGAACACTGATCCGTTTCCCCATCTATATGTAACTCCACTTGTGATGGCTCGAAGCTCCATCCCGGTGGAGGATGGACTTTTAACACGTACTCTCCCTTTTCATAAAGCGGCAGGAAATAATATCCATTCGTTGGCGCGCATTCTGTCTTCTCTTTTAGACTTCCTGTCTTTGTATATCTAGAAAGTGCAATATTATTAATAGCTTATACATCTAATGGAACATTGAACTAAATTAATATTAAATTAACAAATAGGTTATCTTACAGGCCTATATCTATTTTGGAAAAGTCCAAGCTGACATGACTTTTAACAAATCCGCCACATCCTAGAATATCATTAGCGTAACATTGGGCATTAAAAATCAAGATAGCGGCTAATAAAACACATTTTTTTAATTTAAAATGTAAAATCATTTTCTTGTAGTCGATAAAATTTGGGGAATCATAGATAGACTGACAGATTTCACAGTTTGTCAGGAAAGACAAATAGGAGTGTGCTGTCAAATACTTGTATGTCATTTTTTAGATTTAAACCTTTTTGTCATATATAAGCATAGTGATTATTTGCTTAGTGGCAGATGTTGTATAGTTGCTAAGATTTCTAAGTACCAAATGGTTTATACTTAATTTTGAGACTAATGATCAGTAATTCTATGATATTATTTTGTATTCACTTTCAGATTATTTATTTATAAATTTTACCCTTTAGAATACACATATAACAGAGGTAGTCTCAAACTAAGCAGAGCCTTTGGTATAGGCCTATTTCTTGTTACTTATAGTAATGGGGATCAATGGCATAGTAGCCATTTTTAGTTCGAAAAACGGATTTAGATGGCGTCATTGGTATCGAATGGAATTCAACATTGTTTTGTAATCGTTTAAAACCCAAAACTATGTTTTTAAAAAGGTTTAATCTATTTTTAAAAAGTCATATATAGATGTTAAAATGAAATAATGAGTTTTGAAAAGTAATTTTCATATATTTACTCATTTTGTTGTTGCCCTGTATTTGTTTAATTTAATCATTGCTAATTGGGGCTTATTGTTTCCAAAATACTTTCATAGATGGCGCTGTTTTCATTTGTATCACCGTATTTTAAATGTTTATTTTATATTTTCAAATAATAAGTACTTACTATATTATTATGATAAATTAAACATAAAAAAAGTTTAAGTAAATATAAAACAGCTAAACAAGAAAACCATATTATTCCATAATACTTATTTAGAAAGTGTTGCCATATATAAAATAAATGCATAGATTATATCGATTTTTTCGAATAATCGATAACAAGATATTACAACGCATTATTCGATGGTGCTTTTAATTAGTCTTTGCAAACAGTAAAATTTCATCATTTTGTATTATACTCTTATTTGGAACTAATTGCAATGCATAATTTTTACTCGACGACGGCAAAATAGAGAGATTTTGACAGGTATGCAAGTACTATATATTTATCTGTTCGCTCATAACTTCGAAACTTGAAGAGGGAAATATTAATTAGATTGTGATACAAGTGTACTTATTATATCAACCTCCACGCGGTCACCCTGGTAATTAATGACATAAGTGACATAGTTCTTCTATTAAAAAAAATAAATACCTACTTATTGTAATTTAATGAATGAGAATTGAATGTGGTATAGAGTATATAAGGTCAGCTATACCTTTATGAAACCTCAATAAACAAGTGTTATATGGTATCTAAATTACTGACATTGATAGCTAAATATGAGGATCCTCGAATTTTTAAAAATACTCATAAGAAACTTTACAAATACTCGAATTTTGCTTTTGTAGAAGGATATTTTCAACCTTACTAAATTGTACAAGGTTTTGAAACGATAATCATTCATAATACTATGATATATTACTGATCCTAGTACCTACTATTCATGATAATTAGTGTTTTAATATCTCCATTCGAGGGTAGGTTATTAATAATTTATATTATTAGATTTCATCACAAATAAAAATATCGATTTAAAATCGTAGGTTGGTCCATATTTTTTTATTATATCGAAATGACAACGAGTACTGGCAACATAAATGAAATGTTAAAAATATAAAATATAGGAATAAAAGAATAGGATAAACGACTTTAAGTCAAATGCTTAAAACATATTTTCACTAGCATTGGATTTTTTCTCTTTTTTTCATCATTTAAGTTAAGTAGGTACTTCAACTTTTGAATTGTTCCTGTTCAGAGTTCATTGAACTTCTTATTTTTTTGTCAAACTCAATAATTTAAATGTGTCTAAGGACTACTACAAATATTTAGTAAACTATCGTGTCTTTGAGGATTATCTCATACCAGGTATAACTATAAGTTGTTAAAAACTTGCATATGTGTGCGTGTGTATCTTTCATATTAAAATATAATAAACATAGGTACTTGGTGACCGCTTTAATGTGGTATTATTATGTTTTTATTATTGTTATGAATGTAACTTCAAAAAACTAATTTTATAATTTTTGATTGATTGAGAAAATACTGAAAATTATTAATCAAAATAAAGTACTAAACAGTAGTATTATTTTTATATTTTATTTTCTAATACTGAATGAATATGATGTATGAATAATATGTTTATTGTGCTAATAAGATTTTAAGTTTAGTTACTTTCATGTAAGTTCATGAAAATGTAACATGGTATATGATATTGTTTTCAGATTTTCCTGTCATCAACAACTTAATACTGAACAAAGTTTAAACAAATAAGAGATGATATTCTAAATCTCCTAGTCATTCAGATGAAGATAAATAACATTTTTACTGTAAAGAACAGGAGTTCAAAAGAATAAGAAATATATATATATATGAATATTTTACTGTATAAAATAATAATGCAAGTAAAAATAAGAGAAAATAGCAGAAGAAAATTCTGTAAATTATTAATCACAATGCAATTAATAATATAATTAAATAAGTAAGAAAGCAATGGACTAGTGATGAGAAGAAATTCCAAGTAATTATATTATGTGTAACCGACTGCAAATAAGTTTATGATTTAAGCTCATGATTATTATTATATTGCTTCATCAACAAATCCAGGAATATTTTGTGTACCAGGAATTAATTATGAAATGATTTTGATGAAATATTATGTCTTGATATTGATTTATTTGGAATATAATATAAAAATAACAGAAGTGTTTGAAGTTTTAGTGGTATAACAGACAAGCAGTGAAAGAAATATTATTGTAAATTATTAACAATTGTTTATTCTGTGATTAATAAATTATTTAAAAGTGTTTTATTACCTGAAATAAAAATGTTATGATCTTCAAGTGTTGTGTTCATGCAATGTTAGTTTCACCTCATTCGATTTAAAATGTCAGGAATTATTTACTACATAATGATTTTGTATTAGATGGTAATCATATATATTTTTTAATGCAATGTGTATAATAATTCCCATTTACATCAAGAAACTTTGTGTAAATCTATATTTCTCTGTCTATAGACTTTGGTCGTGGAATACTAATAAGAAACAATCTAGAGACTGTAGTATATCACAGCATCCCAGAACCTTGTATTTAAGTCATATAAGGACTTAGTACCTACCTAATATTAATTAATTTGATCTCAATCATCATGATGAACAATGATGATAATGTTGAGAATACTGCCAATGATGAATTTTATAGTGGTCATAAATAAATACCACCGTCACTATCGTCAACAGTCATTATTGATCTCATCATCATCACCGTTACCCTCCTTCATCCATATTGTCAAAAGTTACTACCTACTATTATTAACTGAAATGGTAAATAAGCTGACGATCCATCCAACCACGACGCTATCCGACGTACATACATACACATATATTATTAAACAGCATTACGTCATCATGTCGTGCCTGCTATATCCCGCATACGTTATCATTCCGGAGAACATAGATGTTATATCCAAATATCCTGTAATTTCGCAGCTTAATTTCAACTAAATAACAACTTACATAAATACCAAAAAACTAGCAGTAAAGGCGTAGTTTGTAGATATCGAAGGTTCTACAAATAGGTATAACATCAAAATAAGTACCTACATGTCATTAGCACCGATGTAGTATCCCTGAAAGAACCTACATATAACAGATTGATGGTTTGCAGATATTATTTTCAGTTTTACAAATTGCCAGTTTACCATAATTAACTACATATTGAGAAATAATTATACACTGAAAATTATATGAGGTACCCATATGCACATCAATTGATTATAGCTAAAATCTATCACTATCACATAACAATTTAAATAAAAAATTCCGTATTAAAATCGGGCTATTCGTTAAGGAGCTATTGCTCCTTAACCGATATTTTTTAGTATTACGACATATCTTCGTCGGGAGAAAAAAAGTAGGCATGTAAAAAAGTAACTGTAACATAGTACATAGATACATAGGTACATTAGCCGTGTCTGTAGACTGTCAGCGAACAATACTATACCTACATTGAATTTTCGATTGTACCCAATCAGGAGTTCGGTACAGTTATATATCTATTATGTACGTATCTTTGCAAAACAGATGTCATGTAGACCGAATTCTCTGCCATCTATTTTCATGCTTTATTACTAATCACCCACTAGTAATCCGAACTGCTTCAGATATACGACATCTAGCGCCTACGGCGGCGAAATAAAATAGCCCGAAGAATAGCCCGAGTTAGGAAGGAACCATTTTCTTGTATGGGATGGGGTATCTGTATGTAATATTATATTATCTGTGCTTATAGTAATAGTAAAATAGATACTAGGTAAACAACTTACAAATTTCGTGTGAAAAGGACTAAATTAGTGTGTAGCTCTACTGCCGGTAGGTACAAAAGCTAGGTGTTCTAGTGGTTTAGTGCATCATTTTGCCACCACATGCTAAATGAGCTGATAAGATGTCTAACTTCAGCTTTTGCAGGTCGCGTTCAAGCTACTTACTACGGAAATTTCAAGACATTGACTGCTTGTATTACCTTGTCTTAATTTTGTTACACATCATAATTAAAATGTCATTTTCCTACTGGTTTGCAATATGTTCTTCCTCTACTCCTTATCTGACAGCATATTTCTACAGTAATTATTTATGTACTTGTATAAATAAACAAGCTGTAATTTTAGACAATAATTCAGTTATATTACTAGTTCATATCATCTGTAGTTCTATAAAAAATACTTGATATATATCAGGTATTTTGAGATATATATCTCAATATTTGTATGAGGACACAAAAGGAAATATAAACAAAAATGTACTAATATAAAGTTGTGCCTAAAATTTTGAATAAGTAAATAATAGTTGAATTATACATTAGAGAATAGGTATATTAAAATATAATTGAATTTAAAGCTCTGTTTTGATTCACAATGAATTTTCAGACTCAAATATTTTAATAGATACCTAACACTCAATGTGTCAATCATAAACAAGAATTAAATAATGTTTTTATTTTTTAGTGACAACACAAACAAAATTGTAGATTAAAGTTCATAAAGAATGTACATGTAATAAAAATAAGCTTAGCAGTATTTAACTAAATTAGTGATAGAAAGATTTTATATAATTGTACTATGAATTTATTATGTCGCAACTGCTGCTTTAGTCTTATTTTGTATGGGAAGGAACAATTTAAACTCTGCTGGCAACTCGTCTTCTGAATACAGTCTATCAGAGAAGTAAACTCTTCTTATTCGACAATTTGCATGTATTTGAACCCTGAGGGTTTCAACATAGTTTGTTCCATATGCTCGACGGGTGAAGTCAGCTAAGTTAAATTGAATTTGGTTCCATCCCTCGTCCAATCTCATAGGCATGGTGCAGATGAAAGGTTTTACTCTTGTTGTTGATTGGTAGTTACTAGCTCTAAACCTCCGTCTGACATTTTTATCATCTAATACCTGCAAAAAATGTGACACATATAGTAAAACATAAGCTTGTTTGTTAATAAACTCAGTTATAGTATATGAATATATGACTCAAAGGTGACAGACATAGTGATCTATCAACGCACAGCCCAAACCATTGGGCGGATTGGGCTGAAATTTGGCATGCAGGTGGATGTTATGATGTAAGAAAGCATTTTGATTCATTCTACCCCTAAGGGGATAAAATAGGGGATGAAAGTTTGTATGTAACTTTGTCAATTTTAAACCTATCGGGCTGAGACTGCATGCATAAAGCTACTATGACGCAGGCATCCCCTAAGAAAGTATTTTGATAAATTCCACCCCTAAGGGGATAAATTAACGCGAGCAAAGCTGCGGGCAAAAGTTAGTAGTATATAAACAAATTGCTATTACTGACCTGAACTTCAAATGTGAAGTACTTTTTAAGATTTTTTATGATCATAACCAAAAATGGTAACTTAATACCGAGGGTTTTCTTTGGATCGGCGGGGCACGTAATGTACGTAGTGCTGACATTGGTCCCAACTATTTCTAGCACTAAACTCTGTATATCGTTGTCCGTTATCCTTTTTATGTGCCCATTTCTAACCTTTTTGTCCCAGATTTGTAAAGGTTTACTGCCTATACTGTATAGAATTGACAGAAAACCAGATTGAAAAGTGTTCTTGAACATTGTTCTAGATCTAGCTCGTAAGCACGATGTATCCTTACATTAATAACACCAAAAGAAAAGTTTAATCAATAATAAAATTGTTTCCCGGTGATTACATTATAAGTTGACAAAATGACAGTAAACACAAAAATTTTGAAAGCATCTATTGGTCATGGCTGTATAGAAGCGAGTTGCCATAGCAACAGTAGCAAAACAACCACATTGACCTATTTTACAAAGTGTAGTTACTGATTTCCTATAGGTTCATTCAGTGCACACTTACTATGTCTATCACAATATGTCTAAATCTATTTAATATTAGATTTGACGATTTATCTTTAATGATTTATTTTATAAAATGTATTTTAATATCATAAAATAGGCACCTTAAAATAAGTCTACAAGTTTAGCATTTTATGAACACATCATTAGCAAAAAATAATTTTGGCTCTATTCGCTCTATAATCTGTAGTTGTGAATAGGAGTCTATGCAAAATTTATAGCACGCTGACAGCAGTTTTCAATTCATTTTATTGTCACTGTCAGTGTCATACTGTCATTCTTTATAACAAATTACAGATGGCGGTCGGTTATTTGCGGTCTATTGTGTACGCTTCTTTTGGTGCAATTTATTTTTCTTTATATATCTTTTGTTATTATTGATTATATGTTTTGAATACATTGTATGCATAACAGAATGCACATTAATTAATTTTTACTGTTAATCTGAATATAATGGACATTTGTTTATGTGTTACTATTGCGTGACTGAAAAGTGATACAGAAAATGACGGAAACGTCATCAAAGAGGTAACGTATTTTTATTATTTCACATTTTTTTATAATATTATTTAATTTACCTGATAACTTCAATATATTGAGATGGAAATTAGGACTTTACTAGTCGTTTTTAAAAATTGCTTTGTATTTGTCAATCGCAGTAGTACGACTTAGGCTTTCAGGTTACGCCGACGCCGAATTTGTTCAGGTATATCTGATGATTATCGGTATATGTTCCCTAAATAATGTACATAGCAAGTATTTAATTAAAAACTTGATGATATAGTGTTAATATACATAAACTTTTTTTTATAAAAATAATAATAAAACAGTCAATAGGTACACATTCTTTTTTCAAAAATTATATTTTTTTTATTTACTTCTTGAAGCGTTTAGAGGAAAGGTTAAGACATAAACTACACAGCCATGTGTGTAATATCAATATAAGGGCTTATTCTGAAGTTTGACAATAATTATTTATTTTAATGCTGTTTGTAAATAGGGCTTTTAGAAACCATATATATCCAAATAGAATACATTGCTATAGGAATATGATATATTTTATACTACTAAAAGAAACTTGTGTAAGCTTTACAGCCTTTAGGGTATTTATAACAGAAGTTTTTTTGGATAGTTTTGAACACTGATATTTAGAACTTGGAATATTGATAATTGTCATTTCATATTTGGAACATTGCAATAACTATTAATTGTCAATTTATTTAAAAAAATAGGGGTTCTTAATTCAAATGTATTTTTTACATATTTTATCTGTGTGAAAAATTTTGATTATTTATTATATAAAGCTGTTACTTCATTACATAGTAAAAAACAATGGTATGCAACAATATATTGGTATATTGCTAGCAATGGGGATATTAGTTCACATTACTAACAATCCTTTTTAGCATTTGGTATCTATAATAATAATAATCTATGGTAATATACGGTTTATTGCTATCCTGCTTAGCGAAGGGTAGAGACAATAATAATAATCTCACTACAATTTAATACAGAGCCATCTTGTCCCAAGTTAAGCTAGCTAAAGCTTGTGTTATGGGTATTAGATAACACATACATAGATATATTTTTTTGTAAATATATACATATAATACATAGTAAACACCTCAACAGATACAAACAATCATATTCACAAATACAAATGTATGTGCCATGCGAGGAATCAAACCCACAACCATTGGGCGTAAAGCGGTGTGCTAAACTGCAGACCACAGAGGTCGTCAAGGATCGGAGACGGACCTATATTAACACATCAGTGTGTTCACATCATTACATAGTATAAAACAAAGTTAGTGTCACTGTCTGTCTGTTCCTATGTATGCTTAAATCTTTAAAACTATGCAATGGATTTTGGAGCTATTTTTTTTAACAGATAGAGTGATTCAAGAGGAATGTTTATATATTATAATACTACATATAATATATAATGCTATTATTTAATTTTGCACAAGTGTACATGACATTGAGCAAAACCGGGGCATGTAGCTAGTACATTTATATAATTTTTACATGCAAAGTAGCCCAGAGGAGAGGCTGATTGCAGAAAATAGAGTTCAATTTACATAACATAACATATATACAAACAAACATATAATATGTTTCTTTGTATACATGTAATATAATATATTACAGTATCTGCACATACAACAGTGCAATGACCTAACATAGAAATGAGTATAGTACAGTAATAATAGGTACAGATGGAGGGTGGTTCAATTGAAGGGTAGAATCTGATCTGCTTATGTATATTGGCGCGAGTTTCCGTCTAGCTGTCGAAGCTGTTGTGCCATCCTATATATGCGGAATAGGGTTGCAAATATTCGATAACGATATTCAAATACTGGATTTTAGATTTATGTTTATATATTTAGATTTTATTTTTTTGTAAAGGGATTTCAATATTATATAATAATATTCAAATCCCTTTTACAAATTCTATTATATAATATATGAATATTATATAATAGAATTATTCAATAATTTGCTCTTATATATCTGTGTCGATTGTTCAGCAGTTTAGCACCCTGCTTAAGTTTCTATAGTAGATAGGTTTGATTCCTTACATTTTTATTTATAAGTATGATAGATTGTATATAGTATATACTTTATCGAATTATGTGTTATTTTGCGGTAGACCATTTCTTATATCTATACATATAAATAAAATTGGAGTGTCTGTTTGTAATATTGAAATAATCGTTTTTTACTACATGCATATAAATATAAATACGGTACATACACCAAAATTACATTTTTTACTATTTTTTTACTGTCTGTCTGTTTGTTTGTTCCGGCTAATCTCTGAAATGGCTAGACCGATTTTGACGGGACTTTTATAGGCGTCTGTTAATAAGGAGTAACTTAGGGAATAACCTAGTAAATTTGTCATGATGGCAGCGTATAGCAGCGTTATACCGTTAACGCAAAAGGATGCACCATTCTTCTCCATTAAAAAAGTTAAAGAGTGGCAAAATAACGTTGCCGGGTCAGCTATTATTTTGTAAAATATTATAACATGTTTATTAAATTCACGTCCATTCATGGCGATTTACGTAAAGCGATATTTGCTTTCAATTTGCGATTGGTGGTTGAGAAGTGGGCTCGCGAAAAGTTATTGACCTCAGGAAATCGAAGCCTTAAGCTTTGACTCATTCATTGGGCAAGCTGCATACAAAGGTACGCATAAAACCAGGAATTTATATCACAAACTGGTTCGTGTACATTGAGCAGGTAAATGATTCAACGCTAATTGAATAATTTGTTTCGAAATCAATATTATAGCTATTTTAGAGATGTGCTAACTCGTAATAAACATGACTCGAGTTAAATCGAGGTGAAATTCAGGTAACTCGAGTTAACTCGAGTTGACTCGAGTTACCTGGAATATTTTTATTTTTATTTTTTAACAATTGTAATGTTTTTGGGCGCACTTTAAAGCCGCGGAAGGACTTATAGAACGCATAATCATTTTAATGATAACATAAAATTGGACGAATATGCGAAAATAAAATGATAACAAACTCAAATCAATATTGAAATATTTGTGACGAGTCAAAATTGTATGATGTGAAATGATCGGAAAATTTCATGTCATTGTCGGTTCGATGACAGAATCATGCTCTCGCTCTTTCACTTGATTCATTCATTTACCAGTTGAATTCTTCAAACTCGAGTTGGCAGAATTCAACAATCATTACATAGTATAAAACAAAGTCGCTGTCGCTATCTGTCTGTCTCTATAAATGCGTAAATCTTTAAAACTACGCGGCGGTTTTTTTAATAGATGATGAGATGAGAGAGATGCTACAGCTTAGCTTGGGATTAGATGGTGCTAGTGTTCATTGTTCAGGGATAGTACTATAAAAAAAAATTGTTTGTGCAGAGTGATTTGAAGACATTTACAGTACACTGTGCCGGTTTGTTGTATTTGTCACGTATATTTGCGTTGGCGTCAAACGAATCGAAATAGCTTTTATAGCTCGCAACTCGTTCTAGATATTTTGCCTGTCTACCTAGCTTTATTATTCTATGTATATGTATAGATGTAACGGCCTCAATGGTCTAGCGGTTTACCACACTGCTTTACTTCCTACGGTCACGGGTTCGATTGCACGGTAAAAACATTTGTATTCATGAATATGATTGCCTGTATCGGTCTGGGTGTATTCTATGTGTATTATGTATTAATTAATAAAATGTAATATAATATTTTTTTATTACAATTTATATGTTGCTGTGACCATCTTTAGTAATTTTTTTTATCAATGATAATGGAATGGAGCACCCTCCTGCGCTAACGGTTTACGCTGGCGGGGCACCAGTGGGGGATGATAAGATGAACATGAGGTCAGGTCAGTTAGCACATCGTGACAAATTCACCAGGAATTTATCACGATGGTTTCCAGGGGCAACCACGTGGAGGTCAACCTGATAACCTGGGTTATGAGTACACATTATTAACACCCCCCCATCTTTAATGTTGTGTTGTGATGTAATAAATTTAATTCTATTCTATTTATACCACGTGTCCAATATCCGTAACGCATGCTCTGCTTAGCTTAGTACTAGATGGCGCTGAGTGCATTGTCCTGACATATTATGTTGTGTAAGAAATCCTCAGCTTTTTTGCCAGTTTTAACGTGAGAACTGGCTGGTACGGTGCATTGTCTTCGGTTTTTGTTGATCGGCAGCTAGTCTTAATTAAAGACTTTGTTCAACCCAATTACAATACTCAGGCAACCAAAACGTTTTGAACATTGACCAAGGTCATATGGAACTGGTCATCATAGGTACAAAATATGTACTAGTATACGTCTGGTATAAGTGCATTTATTTACCAGAAGAGAACTTGTAAAAATATCTTGCTTTCGCGTTTATATAAAATAA